GTCTCCAATGTTACAGGTTCAGTTGTGAGCACCACTTCACATTAGTTGGTCTGATATTTTTCAGCTCCAGTTGTGAGCAACATTTCATACAATGGTTTTGTCTCTAATGTTTCAGCTCCAGTTGTGATGCACCACTTCATATTATGAGTTGGTCTCATATGTTTCAGATCCAGTTGTGACACGCCACTTCCTACTAATATGAGCTGTTTTCAATGATTTATGTCCAGATGAGACGCATCACTTAGACGAAGCAGATTATTTTCCCAGACAGAATCATTTTTTCAATATTATGGTGTGAACTCGGTGCTACTTTAACTCCATATAGTTTCTATAGTCACGGTGCCTTTGACTGAATGTAAGCATGTCCTTCTACAATTGTACGTTATACCTAGACGACCAAGGTGCCTGGACATGGGTTACACATTGCAACTGTCCGTGGTCATGTGGGCTCCATTCTGAGAAAGCCATGTTATGCTGGACTTTCTCTGTGAAGAATGTGGTCAGTAGATATAGGGGTGTATTTTGCTGGTCCGAATGTTCCGAGTAGTAGGGAAAGTATAACCTTCCGCATTCATGGTGAAGTGTAAGAATGAGTTGCGGGTGCTGTCCACACCCAATGATACCCCAGTTACCGTAGAAAGGCAGTTGTAGTGTCAGCTGAGGTCGTCTGGAAGTCTGGTCTCTAGAGCACATATACTGATAGATATTTAAAAAACCCTCTAAGCTTCATGTTAAAATGAAGACCAACCGTTTGAGCATTAAATTAGCAGAATAGTGAGTGGAAATATTTGGAGTTATTGACCCCTGTGGTGCAAACCCGTTCCGGCAAGTAACTTTTGTAGAGTTTTCTAACGATTTGCGTATCACTACCAAAGGATCATTTGGAAAACAAAATCAAGACTCCATAGTCTATACTGAAATGTACCACCTCCAGTAACGGTGACTTAGTCTTTCAATGTTTTAGATCCAGTTCAGACGTGCAAAATCCTGTCTTAATGAGTTGGTTTTTCAATGTTTCAGAACCATTTGAAAATCCCAACTTCCTGATATAATGAGCTGGTTTCTAGTGTTTCAGCTCCAGTTGTGATGCAACACTTCATATAATGAGTTGCTCTGATATGCTTTGGTTGTGACCCGCCACTTCGTATAACGAGTTCATCTCTCTGTTTCAGCTCCAGTTGTAAGGTGCTACTTCATAAAATGAGTTCATCTCTCTGTTTCAGCTATAGTTGTAACATGCCCCTTCATATAATAAGTTCATCATTCTGTTTCTGCTCCAGTTGTAACGTGCCACTTCATAAAATGAGTTCATCTCTCTGTTTCAGCTATAGTTGTAACGTGCCACTTCATATAACGAGTCCATCTTTCTGTTTCAGCTCCAGTTGTAACGTGCGACTTCATTTAATGAGTTCATCTCTCTGTTTCAGCTTCAGTTGTAACATGCGATTTCATATGATGAGTTCATCTCTCTGTTTCAGCTATAGTTATAACATGCCACTTCATATGATGAGTTCATCTCTCTGTTTCAGCTATAGTTATAACGTACCACTTCATATAATGAGTTCATCTCTCTGTTTCAGCTCCAGTTGCCAACTGTCACTTCATATAATGAGTTCATCTCTCTGTTTTAGCTCCAGTTTCCAACTGTCACTTCATATAATGAGTTCATCTCTCTGTTTCAGCTCCAGTTGTACCATGCCACTTTATATAATGAGTTCATCTCTCTGTTTCAGCTCCAGTTGTAACATGCGACTTCATTTAATCAGTTCATCTCCCTGTTTCAGCTATAGTTATAACATGCCACTTCATATGATGAGTTCATCTCTCTGTTTCAGCTATAGTTATAACATGCCACTTCATATGATGAGTTCATCTCTCTGTTTCAGCTCCAGTTGTAACATGCGACTTCATTTAATCAGTTCATCTCTCTGTTTCAGCTCCAGTTGTAACGTGCCACGTCATATTAGTTGGTCTCCAATGTTTCAGGTTCATTTCTGAGTACCACTTCACATTAGTTGGTCTGATATTTTTCAGCGCCAGTTGTGAGCAACATTTCATACAATGGTTTTGTCTCTAATGTTTCAGCTCCAGTTGTGATGCACCACTTCAAATTATGAGTTGGTCTCATATGTTTCAGATCCAGTTGTGACACGCCACTTCCTACTAATATGAGCTGTTTTCAATGATTTATGTCCAGATGAGACGCATCACTTAGACGAAGCAGATTATTTTCCCAGACAGAATCATTTTTTCAATACTATGGTGTGAACTCGGTGCTACTTTAACTCCATATAGTTTCTATAGTCACGGTGCCTTTGACTGAATGTAAGCATGACCTTCTACATTTATACGTTATACCTAGACGACCAAGGTGCCTGGACATTGGTTACACATTGCAACTGTCCGTGGTCATGTGGGCTCCATTCTGAGAAAGCCATGTTATGCTGGACTTTCTCTGTGAAGAATGTGGTCAGTAGATATAGGGGTGTATTTTGCTGGTCCGAATGTTCCGAGTAGTAGGGAAAGTATAACCTTCCGCATTCATGGTGAAGTGTAAGAATGAGTTGCGGGTGCTGTCCACACCCAATGATACCCCAGTTACCGTAGAAAGGCAGTTGTAGTGTCAGCTGAGGTCGTCTGGAAGTCTGGTCTCTAGAGCACATATACTGATAGATATTAAAAGAAACCTCTAAGCTTCATGTTAAAATGAAGACCAACCGTTTGAGCATTAAATTAGCAGAATAGTGAGTGGAAATATTTGGAGTTATTGACCCCTGTGGTGCAAACCCGTTCCGGCAAGTAACTTTTGTAGAGTTTTCTAACGATTTGCGTATCACTACCAAAGGATCATTTGGAAAACAAAATCAAGACTCCATAGTCTATACTGAAATGTACCACCTCCAGTAACAATGACTTAGTCTTTCAATGTTTTAGATCCAGTTCAGACGTGCAAAATCCTGTCTTAATGAGTTGGTTTTTCAATGTTGCAGAACCATTTAAAAAGCCCAACTTCCTGATATAATGAGCTGGTTTCTAGTGTTTCAGCTCCAGTTGTGATGCAACACTTCATATAATGAGTTGCTCTGATAGGCTTTGGTTATGACACGCCACTTCGTATAACGAGTTTATCTCTCTGTTTTAGCTCCAGTTGTAAGGTGCTACTTCATAAAATGAGTTCATCTCTCTGTTTCAGCCTCAGTTGTAACGTACCACTTCATATAATGAGTTCAACTCTCTGTTTCAGCTATAGTTGTAACATGCTACTTTATATAATGAGTTCATCTCTCTGTTTCAGCTCCAGTTGTAACATGCGACTTCATATAACAAGTTCAACTCTCTGTTTCAGCTATAGTTGTAACATGCTACTTTATATAATGAGTTCATCTCTCTGTTTCAGCTCCAGTTGTAACATGCGACTTCATATAACAAGTTCATCTCTCTGTTTCAGCTATAGTTGTAACGTGCCACTTCATATAATGAGTTCAACTCTCTGTTTCAGCCTCAGTTGTAACGTACCACTTCATATAATGAGTTCAACTCTCTGTTTCAGCTATAGTTGTAACATGCTACTTTATATAATGAGTTCATCTCTCTGTTTCAGCTCCAGTTGTAACATGCGACTTCATATAACAAGTTCAACTCTCTGTTTCAGCTATAGTTGTAACATGCTACTTTATATAATGAGTTCATCTCTCTGTTTCAGCTCCAGTTGTAACATGCGACTTCATATAACAAGTTCATCTCTCTGTTTCAGCTATAGTTGTAACGTGCCACTTCATATAATGAGTTCATCTCTCTGTTTCAGCTCCAGTTGTAACATGCGACTTCATATAACAAGTTCATCTCTCTGTTTCAGCTATAGTTGTAACGTGCCACTTCATATAATGAGTTCATCTCTCTGTTTCAGCTATAGTTGTAACATGCTACTTTATATAACAAGTTCCTCTCTCTGTTTCAGCTCCAGTTGTCAACTGTCACTTCATATAATGAGTTCATCTCTCTGTTTCAGCTCCAGTTATAACGCACCCGTGAAAATCCGGGGTAGTATAGGTATTCAGCAACCCATGCTTGCCGTAAAAGGTGACTATGCTTGTTGAAAGAGGTGACTAACGGGATCGGGTGGTCAGGCTCGGTGACTTGATTGATGCATGTCATCGATCCCAATTGCGTGGATCGATGCTCATGATGTCAATCACTGACTATTTACAGACCGCCGTCATTTAGATGGAATATTGCTGAGTGCGTCGTTAAACAAAGAAATACTTCATTCATTAAATGTGTTTGGCTCTAATGTCCACTAATTACGACGATTGCGTTCCCCACTTATGATGCACTGGTCATTATGAAACCTTTAATTACACCACTAATGACGCAGATTCCTTTCGCCACTCATGATGCATCGGTCAGTTGGAAACTATTGTCGGACAGCGAGGTAGCTGGTGGTGGACAATTTTTAGACAGAAGGAACTTCCTGCCCTGTGTTATGAAAACATGACGGTGCTGGTCAAGGCTTTTAACGAGAACCTGGACTGGATATCTGGTAGTTATATCCAGGTCATTAGAACAAATTGCCAGATTATGATGAGCTGATCCAAGATAGATTGACTAATTATGTCCTCAGTTAAGATCGATATTCGACGGGGGATATCCAAATTGTCGCGAGGAAATTAGTCAGATTGAAGATCATCATATTATAATAGGGGCGGTCGGGTAGCCTAGTGGTTAAAGCGTTCGCTCGTCACGCCGAAGACCCGTGTTCGTTTCCCGACATTGGTACAATGTGTGAAGTTCATTTCTGGTGTCCCCCGCTGTGATATTGCTGGAATATTTCTAAAAGCGGCGTAAAACCTCACTCACTCACTCACTCACTCACTCACTCACTCACTCACTCACTCACTCACTCACTCACTCACTCACTCACTGTCCGAGAAAATACTTGAAAAGAGGAGAAAGAACGGAGAAAAGAACAAGACAATTCCACTATTTCATTGAAGTGACAGTTCAGGATTACATACAAGTATAAACCCGTGTTATATATCAGCCACACCAGGTTCCTCCTCTTCTGCCCCCACCTCCTCATCACCACCTCCTCCATACTCCTCATCACCAGCTCCTCCACATTCGTAATCTCATATACGAGCTCCTCAATACTCGTTATCGTCTACATCACCTCCTCCATAGTCGTCATCGTCTCCATCATCTTCTTCATAGTCGTCATCGTCTCCATCATCGTCTTCATAGTCGTCATCGTCTCCATCACCTCCTTCATAGTCGTCATCGTCTCCATCACCTCCTTCATAGTTGTCATCATCTCCACCACCTCCTCCACTTCCTTTTCCATATTCGTCACCATCGTCTTCTTCATAGTCGTTATCGTCTCCATCACCTCCTTCATAGTCGTCATCGTCTCCATCATCTTCTCCATAGTCGTCATCGTCTCCATCATCTTCTTCATAGTCGTCATCGTCTCCATCATCTCCTTCATAATCGTCATCGTCTCCATCATCTTCTCCGTAGTCGTCATCGTCTCCATCATCTCCTTCATAATCGTCGTCGTCTCCATCATCTTCTCCGTAGTCGTCATCGTCTCCATCACCTCCTTCATAGTCGTCATCGTCTCCATCATCTCCTTCATAATCGTCATCGTCTCCATCATCTTCTCCGTAGTCGTCATCGTCTCCATCACCTCCTCCATAGTCGTCATCGTCTCCATCACCTCCTTCATAGTCGTCATCGTCTCCATCATCTTCTCCATAGTCGTCATCGTCTCCATCACCTCCTTCATAGTCGTCATCGTCTCCATCATCTTCTCCGTAGTCGTCATCGTCTCCATCACCTCCTCCATAGTCGTCATCGTCTCCATCATCTTCTTCATTGTCGTCATCGTCTCCATCATCTTCTCCGTAGTCGTCATCGTCTCCATCATCTTCTTCATTGTCGTCATCGTCTCCATCATCTTCTCCATAGTCGTCATCGTCTCCATCATCTTCTCCGTAGTCGTCATCGTCTCCATCACCTCCTCCATAGTCGTCATCGTCTCCATCACCTCCTTCATAGTCGTCATCGTCTCCATCATCTTCTTCATTGTCATCATCGTCTCCACCAGCTTCTTCTTTGTCATCATCGTCTCCACCACCTCCTTCACTTCCTTTTCCATATTCGTCTCCGTCATCTTCTCCGTAGTCGTCATCGTCTCCATCACCTCTTTCATAGTCGCCATCGTCTCCGTCACCTTCTCCATAGTCGTCATCGTCTCCACCACCTCCTCCACTTCCTTTTCCATATTCGTCTCCATCATCTTCTCCATAGTCGTCATCGTCTCCACCATCTTCTCCATAGTCGTCATCGTCTCCATCACCTTCTCCATAGTCGTCATCGTCTCCATCAACTCCTTCATAGTCGTCATCGTCTCCATCATCTTCTCCATAGTCGTCATCGTCTCCATCATCTTCTCCATAGTCGTCATCGTCTCCATCATCTTCTCCATAGTCGTCATCGTCTCCATCATCTTCTCCATAGTCGTCATCGTCTCCATCAACTCCTTCATAGTCGTCATCGTCTTCACCACCTCCTCCACTTCCTTTTCCATATTCGTCTCCATCACCTCCTTCATAGTCGTCATCGTCTCCATCATCTTCTCCATAGTCGTCATCGTCTCCATCATCTTCTTCATTGCCGTCATCGTCTCCATCATCGTCTCCATCATCGTCTTCATAGTCGTCATCGTCTCCATCACCTCCTTCATGGTCGTCATCGTCTCCATCACCTCCTTCATAGTCGTCATCGTCTCCATCATCTTCTTCATTGTCGTCATCGTCTCCATCATCTTCTCCATAGTCGCCATCGGCTCCATGATCTTCTTCATTGTCGTCATCGTCTCCATCAACTCCTTCATAGTCGTCATCGTCTTCACCACCTCCTCCACTTCCTTTTCCATATTCGTCTCCATCACCTCCTTCATAGTCGTCATCGTCTCCATCATCTTCTCCATAGTCGTCATCGTCTCCATCATCTTCTTCATTGCCGTCATCGTCTCCATCATCGTCTTCATAGTCGTCATCGTCTCCATCACCTCCTTCATGGTCGTCATCGTCTCCATCACCTCCTTCATAGTCGTCATCGTCTCCATCATCTTCTTCATAGTCGTCATCGTCTCCATCACCTTCTCCATAGTCGCCATCGTCTCCATCATCTTTTTCATTGTCGTCATCGTCTCCATCATCTTCTTCATAGGCGTCACTGTCTCCATCACCTTCTCCATAGTCGTTATCGTCTCCATCACCTCCTTCATAGTCGTCATCGTCTCCACCACCTCCTTCATAGTCGTCATCTTCTCCATCATCTTCTCCATTGCCGTCATCGTCTCCATCACCTCCTTCATAGTCGTCATCGTCTCCATCATCTTCTCCGTAGTCGTCATCGTCTCCATCACCTCCTTCATAGTCGTCATCGTCTCCATCATCTCCTTCATAGTCGTCATAGTCTCCATCACCTTCTCCATAGTCGTCATTGTCTCCATCACCTCCTTCATAGTTGTCATCGTCTCCACCACCTCCTCCACTTCCTTTTCCGTATTCGTCACCATCATCTTCTTCATAGTCGTTATCGTCTCCATCACCTCCTTCATAGTCGTTATCGTCTCCACCACCTCCTTCATAGTCGTCATCTTCTCCATCATCTTCTCCATTGCCGTCATCGTCTCCATCACCTCCTTCATAGTCGTCATCGTCTCCATCACCTCCTTCATAGTCGTCATTGTCTCCATCACCTCCTTCATAGTCGTCATCGTCTCCACCACCTCCGCCACTTCCTTTTCCGTATTCGTCACCATCATCTTCTTCATAGTCGTCATCGTCTCCACCGCCTCCTCCACTTCCTTTTCCGTATTCGTCACCATCATCTTCTTCATAGCCGTCATCGTCTCCATCACCTCCTTCATAGTCGTCATCGTCTCCATCATCTTCTCCGTAGTCGTCATCGTCTCCATCACCTCCTTCATAGTCGTCATCGTCTCCATCACCTCCTTCATAGTCGTCATCGTCTCCACCACCTCCTCCACTTCCTTTTCCGTGTTCGTCACCATCATCTTCTTCATAATTGTCATCCTCTCCATCACCTTCTCCATAGTCGTCATCGTCTCCACCGCCTTCTTCATAGTCGTCATCGTCTCCATCACCTCCTTCATAGCCGTCATCGTCACCATCACCTTCTCCATTATCGTCATCGTCGCCATCACCTTCTTCATAGTCGTCATCACCTCCACTACCTCCTCCACTTCCTTTTCCCTTGTCGTCTTCATCACCACCACCTTCTTCATTATCTTCATCGTAACCAACACCTTCTCCATTGTCGTCGCCGACTCCACCTTGGTTTACATTTTTGCTGATGTATGTATGGTTTCGTGTTACAGCTTTTGCCGTTGGAAATTGCGCCCCTGAAAATGTCAAATTCAGCTTTCTTTGGTTTTTTGGCTTTTGTTGGTTTATCTGAAATTTGACATTTAGAGGGAGCGCCTTTTCTTCGCGTTTGGATTGCCCCGTGTTCCCCGTCTTGGCACCATCTATGAACACAAGATATGTTAAAAACAGGTGAGGTGGCATAACATGGTATCGATAAGCATGCACGTACGTGAGTATGGGTGTGCGCACGTGCGTGCGAATGTGCGTGTCTGCGTGTGTGTCTGAGTGCCTGCCTGCGTGTGTGTCTGCATGTGTGTCTGCGTGTGTGCCTGCGTGTGTGTCTGCGTGTGTGTCTGAGAGTGTGTCTGCGTGTGTGTTTGAGTGTGTGTCTGCGTTCGTGTATGCTTGTGTATCTGAGAGTGTCTGCGTGCGTGTCTCCGTGTGTGTCTGAGTGTGTGTCTGCTTGTGTGTCTGAGAGTGTGCCTGCGTGTGTCTGAGTGTGTCTGCTTGTGTGGCTGCGTGTGTGTCTGCTTGTGTGTCTGAGTGTGTGTCTGAGTGTGTGCCTCCGTTTGTGCCTCCGTGTGTGTCTGAGTGTTTGTCTGCTTGTGTGTCTGAGTGTGTGCCTGAGAGTGTGTCTGAGTGTGTCTGCGTGTGTGGCTGCTTGTGTGGCTGCGAGTGTCTGAGAGTGTGTCTGTGTGTGTGTCTGAGTGTGTGTCTGTCTGCGTGTGTCTGAGTGTGTGCCTGCGTGTGTGCCTGCATGTGTGTCTGAGTGTGTGTTCGAGTGTGTCTGAGTGTGTCTGCTTGTGTCCGAGAGTGTGTCTCCGTGTATGTCTGAGTGTGTTCCTGCGTGTGTGTCTGAGAGTGTGTATGCGTGTGTGTCTGAGTGTGTGTCTGCGTGTGTGTCTGAGTGTGTGCCTGCGTGTGTGCCTGCATGTGTGTTTGAGTGTGTGTTTGAGTGTATCTGAGTGTGTCTGCGTGTGTGTCTGCTTGTGTGTCTGCTTGTGTGTCCGAGAGTGTGTCTCCGTGTATGTCTGAGTGTGTGCCTGCGTGTGTGTCTGAGAGTGTGTATGCGTGTGTGTCTGAGTGTGTGTCTGAGAGTGTGTCTGCGTGTGTGTCTGAGTGTGTGTCTGTCTGCGTGTGTGTCTGCTTGTGTGTCTGCTTGTGTGTCCGAGAGTGTGTCTCCGTGTATGTCTGAGTGTGTGCCTGCGTGTGTGTCTGAGAGTGTGTATGCGTGTGTGTCTGAGTGTGTGTCTGCGTGTGTGTCTGAGTGTCTGTCTGCGTGTGTGTCTGCGTGTGTGTCTGAGTGTGTCTAAGTGTGTGCCTGAGAGTGTGCCTGCGTTTGTGTCTGAGTGTGTGTCTGAGTGTGCCTGCGTGTGTGTCTGAGTGTGTGTCTGAGTGTGTCTGCGTGTGTGTCTGCTTGTGTGTCTGAGAGTGTGTCTGCGTGTGTGTCTGAGTGTGTGACTAAGAGTGTGTCTACGTGTGTGTCTGCGTGTGTGTCTGCGTGTGTGTCTGAGAATGTCTGCGTTTGTGTCTGAGTGTGTGTATGCGTGTGTCTGCGTGTGTGTCTGCGTGTGTCTGCTTGTGTGTCTGCTTGTGTGTCTGAGAGTGTGTCTGCGTGTGTCTGCGTGTGTCTGAGTGTGTGTCTGAGTGTGTGTCTGAGTGTGTGTATGCGTGTGTGTCTGAGTGTGTCTGCGTGTGTGTCTGAGTGTGCCTGCGTGTGTGTCTGCTTGGGTGTCTGAGTGTGTGCCTGCGTGTGTGTCTGTGTGTGTCTGCGTGAGTGTGTGTCTGCGTGTGTGTCTGAGAGTGTGTATACGTGTGTGTCTGAGTGTGTCTGCGTGTGTGCCTGCGTGTGTGTCTGCTTGTGTGTCTGAGTGTGTGCCTGCGTGTGTGTCTGAGTGTGTGTCTGCGTTTGTGTCTTAGTGCGTGTCTGCGTGTGTGTCTGAGTGTGTCTGAGAGTGTGCCTGCGTGTGTGTCTGCGTGTGTGTCTGAGTGTGTGTCTGAGCGTGTGCCTGAGTGTGTCTGCGTGTGTGCCTGCGTGTGTGTCTGCTTGTGTGTCTGAGTGTGTGTCTACGTGTGTGTCTGAGTGTGTCTGCGTGTGTGCATGCGTGTGTGTCTGAGTGTGTGTCTGAGTGTATGCCTGCTTGTGTGTCTGAGTGTGTGTCTGCGTGTGTGTCTGCGTGTGTGTCTGATTGTGTGTCTGCGTTTCTGTCTGATTGTGTGTCTGCTTGTGTGCCTGAGTGTGTGTCTGAGTTTGTGCCTGCGTGTGTCTGTGTGTGTCTGCGTGCGTGTCTGCATATATGTCTGCGTGTGTGTCTGAGTGTGTGTCTGAGAGTGTGTCTACGTGTGTGTCTGCTTGTGTGTCTGAGAATGTCTGCGTGCGTGTCTGAGTGTGTGTATGCGTGTGTCTGAGTGTGTCTGAGAGTGTGTCTGCGTGTGTCCGAGTGTGTGTCTGCGTGTTTGTTGAAGTGTGTCTGCGTGTGTATCTGCTTGTCTGCCTGAGAGTGTGTCTGCGTGTGTCTTCGTGTGTGTCTTCGTGTGTGTCTGAGTGTGTGCCTGCGTGTGTCTGTGTGTGTGTCTGAGAATGTGTGCGTGTGTGTCTGAGTGTGTCTGCGTGTGTGTCTGATTGTGTGTCTGCGTGTGTGTCTTAGTGTGTGTGTGCGTGTGTGTCTGAGAGTGTGTCTGAGTGTGTCTGCGTGTGTCTTAGTGTGTGTCTGCGTGTGTGTCTGAGTGTTGTCTGCTTGGGTGTCTGAGAGTGTGCCTGCGTGTGTGCCTGCGTGCGTGTCTGCTTATGTGTCTGAGTGTGTCTGCTTGTGCTATGCTGGTTGTATACTGCTAGGCTACTGAGATACCATGCGAAAGTTGAACATGGATGCCCTACTCAGACACAGTTTTCCAACCGACCAGTCCCTGTCCCCCTTCCCCAACCCCTCTAAATGCTGAGCGCCTAGCAGGGTAGGCAAGTACCACCTTTTTTACATATATTGGTATGACGAGGCCGGGGATCGAACCTCCCGCCTTCCGCTCTCCGTCTGAATCCCCACAAGGTGTCTCAATCCCTACAGGGTGCCTGAATCCCTTCAGGGTGCCTGAATCCCTTCGGGGTGTCTGAATCCCTACAGGGTCTCTAAATCCCTGCTGGGTGTCTGAATCCCTACAGGGTGCCTGAATCCCTACAGGGTGTCTGAATCCCCACAGGATGCCTGAATCCCTACAGGGTGTCTGAATCCCTACGGGATGTCTGAATCCCTACAGGGTGTCTCAATCCCTACAGGATGTCTGAATCCCTACATGGTGTCTGAATCCATACAGGATGTCTGAATCCCTACAGGGTGACTGAATCCCTACAGGGTGTCTGAATCCCTACAGGGTATCTGAATCCCTACAGGGTGTCTGAATCCCTACAGGGTGTCTGAATCCCTGCTGGGTGTCTGAATCCCCAAAGGGTTATTGAATCTCTTCAGGGTGTTTGAATCCCTACAGGGTGTCTAAATCCCTGCTGGGTGTCTGAATCCCTACAGGTTGCCTGAATCCTCACAGGGTGTCTGAATCCCTCCTGGGTGTCTGAATCCCTACAGGGTGTCTGAATGCCTACAATGTGTCTGAATCCCTACAGGGTATCTGAATCCCTACAGGATGTCTAAATCCCTACAGGGTGTCTGAATCCCTACAGGATGTCTGAATCCCTACAAGGTGTCTGAATCCCTACATGATGTCTGAATCCCTACAAGGTGTGTGAATCCCTACATGGTGTCTCAATCCCTACAGGGTGTCTGAATCCCTAGAAGGTGTCTCAATCCCTACAGGGTGCCTGAATCCCTACAGGGTGTCTGAATCCCCACAGGGTGCCTGAATCCCTACAGGATGTCTGAATCCCTACAAGGTGTCTCAATCCCCAAAGGGTTATTGAATCTCTTCAGGGTGTTTGAATCCCTACAGGGTGTCTGAAACCCCAAAGGGTGTTTGAATCTCTTCAGGGTGTTTGATTCCCTACAGGGTAATTGAATCCCCAGAAGGGTGTCTGAATCCCTACATGGTGTCTGAATCCATACAGGGCGTCTGAATCCCTGCTGGGTGTCTGAATCCCTACAGGGTATCTGGATCCCGACAGGGTGTCTGAATCCCCATAGGGTGTCTGAATCCCTACAGGGTGTCTGAATCCCTACAGGGTGTCTGAATCAGTGTGTCTGAATCCCTTCAGGGTGTCTGAATCCCCAAAGGGTGTTTGAATCTCTTCAGGGTGTTTGAATCCCTACAGGGTGTCTGAATACCTACAGGGTGTCTGAATCCCCACAGGGTGTCTGAATCCCTGCTGTGTGTCTGAATCCCTACAGGGTGCCTGAATCCCTTCAGGGTGTCTAAATCCCTGCTGGGTGTCTGAATCCCTACAGGGTATCTGAATCCCCACATGGTGTCTGAATCTCTACAGGGTGTCTGAATCCCTACAGGGTGCCTGAATCCCTACAGGGTGTCTGAATCCCTACAGGGTGCCTGAATCCCTACAGGGTGCCTGAATCCCTGCTGGGTGTCTGAATCCCTACAAGGTGTCTCAATCCCTACAGGGTGCCTGAATCCCTACAGGATGTCTGAATCCCCACATGGTGCCTGAATCCCTACAGGGTGTCTGAATCAGTGTGTCTGAATCCCTTCAGGGTGTCTGAATCCCCAAAGGGTGTTTGAATCTCTTCAGGGTGTTTGAATCCCTACAGGGTGTCTGAATACCTACAGGGTGTCTGAATCCCCACAGGGTGTCTGAATCCCTGCTGTGTGTCTGAATCCCTACAGGGTGCCTGAATCCCTTCAGGGTGTCTAAATCCCTGCTGGGTGTCTGAATCCCTACATGGTATCTGAATCCCCACAGGGTGTCTGAATCCCTACAGGGTGCCTGAATCCCTACAAGGTGCCTGAATCCCTACAGGGTGCCTGAATCCCTGCTGGGTGTCTGAATCCCTACAAGGTGTCTAAATCCCTACAGGGTGCCTGAATCCCTACAGGGTGTCTGAATCCCCACATGGTGCCTGAATCCCTACAGGATGTCTGAATCCCTACAATGTGTCTCAATCCCTACAGGGTGTCTGAATCCCTACAAGGTGTCGCAATCCCTACAGAGTGCCTGAATCCCTACAGGGTGTCTGAATCCCTACAGGGTGTCTGAATACCTACAGGGTGTCTGAATACCTACAGGGTGTCTGAATCCATACAGGGTGTCTGAATCCCTGCTGGGTGCCTGAATCCCTGCTGGGTGTCTGAATCCCTACAGGGTGTCTGAATCCATACAGGGTGTCTGAATCCCTGCTTGGTGCCTGAATCCCTGCTGGGTGCCTGAATCCCTACAAGGTGTCTAAATACCTACAGGGTGTCTGAATACCTACAGGGTGTCTGAATACCTACAGCTTGTCTGAATCCATACATGGTGTCTGAATCCCTGCTGGGTGCCTGAATCCCTGCTGGGTGCCTGAATCCCTGCTGGGTGTCTGAATCCCTACAGGGTGTGTGAATCCCCATAGGGTGTCTGAATCCCTACAGGGTGCCTGAATCCCTTCAGGGTGTTACCAAAACTGGGATTTGCTGAGACATTCCTGAAGCGGTGCAAGGACTCAAGTTAATGTGAGACTGCTTTAAATTTATGCTTATTAAAGACTGATCACAAATATATGTGAGTTCACTCATTACCAAAATTACCCGCGAGACTGTATTTGAAAGACTCCGTGAAATTACAGATACTTCTCAAAACTGATGAAAAAATAGTAAACCGCGTTTGTTTTTTATGTAATTGAAAATTGAAAGTACTTTCGTTAAATTATGATGTCTATTTAACCATCACTCATTCCTGCAAGAGTTTGTAAAAAGTAATCTGTGGCTGGGTAATTTTTCGTAAAACTAAATTGGTTCAATGAAGACTGGGGTAAGAAATGAATTTAGACACCACATGATCCTGCCATGCTTGAAATATTGTAATTTGTGCCAAAAAAGTAAATTAATTGATTTTCAAAGATAAGGTATCTAATATACCCATCAGCATATTACAAAATATAAAACCATGTTGAAGTATCCTTTGAATGCTGACTAAGCGCCAGTACAGCTTATGTTTTATATCATATCCCAAACTTAATATATTTTTAATTGAAAATCAAACATCTAAAAATTATTAATTTATTTTGCCCCTCATTTTATTTATGATACATATTTCGACAGACATAACGTAGCTATATTCGTTAGCTATTAGCTTTATTCAACACTCTCTGTAGAAAGTTGTTAAGTGATCTTTAAATACAGCTTCTTTGTCGGGGTATTAAAAATGCTTTTGACCACAGATTTTCCTTTTTTGCCACAAACCGGTCGTACAAGCTATCGAATTCCGTTTTCACAAAGCAGCAATGAACGTGCATCTGTAGATTTGTCTGAACGCATCAGGTCGACCTCTACTTACTTTTAACAGGTTTCGGTGTGGGACCAGCCTTGTTGTTAGACTGAAGAGCAGATAACAGATTCTGGCCCTGTAGGGTCCCAGCGGTTGGAGGGTTAAATCTGAATGGGCCTTGTCCAAATGTCGCACCTGCAAAACAGTTACTGAAACAGTTACAGAAAACATTACTGCTATTTTCATATTACTGAGATTACTGGAGATACATTACTCGGGTGGACACTGATGGTATTATATGGAGGCTAGGATATTACTGAAGGAATTTTGTTTTCAGATTTAACTGGGAAAACGTTTGTGTTACCAGCAAAACAGCAAAACTAGGTTATTGGAGATAAATCTCTGCAGTTACGTTGAGGTCAGATATAGCGGAATTCATATACAGTAAACTACGGTTATAACGAGCTCAGAGGGACCAGTAATTTTAGTTCGTTATTACCGTAGTTCGTTATAAACATTTATACAGCAAATGGCCGGGACAAAAAGAACAGTTCGTTATATCCGCCAGTTCGTTATAAGCGTGTTCGTTATAACCGTAGAGTACTGTATACATATCAAACGAGTAATAGCCATAAACTGTAACAGTTCATTGCTAATTATTGAAATATTTAAATCAATAGTGAATGAGTGAGTATGGTTTTACGCCGCTTTTAGCAATATTCCTGCAATATCACGGAGGGGGAGACCAGAAATGGGCTTCACACATTGTACCCATGTCGGGAATCGAACCCGGGTCTTCGGCGTGACTAGCGAACGCTTTAACCGCTGGGCTACCCGACCGCCCCCTTTAAATCAATAGATAATAACCCAAGTCTACACATCTTTAACAACACAGAACTTATTATTAAAATATAATTATTTACCATGTTGAATTCGTTTCGTGCAGTTCAGAGACGGTTTGATCCAAGCACCGTCTTTGGAACATTTGCCTTTGGCTGTGCCCCCTATTGACTTGTACCCAGGGGCACATCTGTATGTGAAGGTTACCCTGCCATCCACCTGCAGTGCGGGTTCAGATCCAGGGATACCATTTGGGATGGTGGGCGTGTCTCTGCAGTCAGGATCTGAAGTTTAAAAGAGTTTATATTAATTATGAGATATGTATTACATTTAATTAAATCAGTTTCAATAATCTAAGCGGCAAAAGAAAGTATAGGTTGGCAATTTGTAATTTTCCTAAAAACAGCGATAACTAGTGGAAAGTGGGTATTGAGAATATGACTGCCCAGGAAGAGGTACCAAAAAACCACCTCACCCGAACGCGCCACCTTTGACGGCGCTCGTGCGGTGACAAAAAAATGGTGAAACAGGTTTCTCGCCTTTGGTATAAACTGCACGTGCATGTTAGCTGTATAAATGCGTTCGTCTGCAGGGTATAACCACACGTGACGAAAAAGCACACAAAAGAGATGCCATGACTATCGCAGGAGCAGAGAGAGAGCCATCGGTATGGCGGAAATGGTGGCAACACAGGTCAAAATTGCCAGAGAGTTTGGTTGTACACCATTGACAGTAGCCAGGCTGATTCAACGGTACAAGCAAACAGGGAGGACACAGGACAGGCCTTGAACCGGATGACCCTGAGTGACAACACCACGACGACTTCGTGCTGCTGGAATCCGAGCGTATCGTCCTTTCCGAGGAATGGTACTGACTGCTCAACATCGACGCCTGAGACTGCGATGGGCGAGGCAGGTTCGACGCTGGCAAGTGAGAAATTGGCGTCGAGTGCTGTTTACTGATGAAAGTCGGTTTAACTTGTTTCGAAATGACGGCAGGGCAGAGAACGAGTTTATCGACGCAGAGGGGAACGTTTGGCTCCGGCTTGTATTCGAGAGGTCCATCCATTCGGCGGGGGAGGTGTCATGGTGTGGGGCGGTATTTGTGGAGATCAGAAGACTGATTACGTGATTATACAGGGAAACCTGAACGCTGTGCAGTACAGAGACCAAGTGTTGCAGCCAGTTGTGCTTCCGTTCTTACAAAACCAACAGCAGGGGACATTGTTTCAACACGACAATGCTTCAATACTGCAAGACTGACTAGGAACTTTCTAAACCAGAAGAACGTTGACGTTTTGCCCTGGCCTGCCCACTCACCCGACATGAATCATATTGAACATCTGTGGAGCCATCTTGACAGACAGATTAGCGCACGCAATCAGCCTCCCGTCAACAGACAAGAATTGCAGCAGGCCCTGAGAGACGAGTGGCAACGGATTCCAGTCCACGTCAGCAGAAGACTGACGCCATCGATGAGGCGGTGTATCACAGCATGCATTGAGGCAGCTGGAGGTCATACACACTATTGAAGGCAACTGTGTCGACAATGAACTTGTAGTGTGTCTGACAATTTTTTGGTGACATTTCAGACAACTTTTGAAATTTCTTACCCCACCATTGTTTACCTTGAGCTTACATTACCTGTGATTGCACAATTTCATTCAAACTGTGGTTGATCAATCATTTGTTACCCCTCCCTAGATTATAATTCACAACAAAACCTCTTCTTGTTATTTTTTTATCGATCATGTAACTCGACCTATACTTTCATTTGCCGCCCAGTTTATATACCGGGAATGGTCCGAAAACACGTTGTTTCTGTGACCTGTCTTGGCCTTGTGCTACTTCCGGTTTAGAATTGGTCCCCAGGAACCTGTGTCTGTCGCAGGAGGGGACTTAATGGTTCGAGTGGTCAGGCTCGGCGATTGGGTGGATCGGTTGGTCAGGCTTGGCGATTGGGTTGTTCGGGTGGTCAGGCTCGGCGACTGGGTGGATCGGTTGGTCAGGCTTGGCGATTGGGTTGTTCGGGTGGTCAGGCTCGGCGACTGGGTGGATCGGGTGGTCAGGCTCGGCGACTGGGTGGATCGGGTGGTAAGGCTCGGCGACTGGGTGGATCGGAGGGTCAGCGACTGGGTGGGTCGGGTGGTCAGGCTCGGCGACTGGGTGGATCGGGTGGTAAGGCTACATGCATCAGTTATCGGTCCTATTAAAGACCAGACGCATATTAGAGACCAGTCGCATATTAGAGACCAGACGCATGTTAGAGACCAGACGCATATTAGAGACCAGACACATCTTAGAGACTCGACACTTATTGTGCTTAACGCTACTCTGTACTCAGCGCTTATTGAAGCCGGCGCCTACAAGAGGCCCAGCACTTATTACAGGATAGTTACAGAAAACACGTTCAAAGCGAAGTTAAACCCAACCAACTCATCACCGACACACATACTCACGTATGACCAGGTACTCGCAGCTGCCTGTCGCCAGGTTGTCTGGGAGTGCCACGCCCTCCCTTGACTCCTTGAAGGTGTGACAGGTGCCCCTCCGGGAGTTGACAGACAGGGAACACGATGGACTCCCAGGGAAACATGGCCGGTCAGTGTCTGGGCGACAGTGAACGGCAACCACGCAGGTGTTCTCAGCCTCACATGCTTGCTGACACTGTTGCTTGCTGCGGACCACGGTGCCTTTGTAAGCAACACCCACGCTTATGTGGAACGCGTTACTGGTCAAATCCTTCTTGCTGAGCTTCACGAAGGGGCTTTCTCTGACGGCGAGATGCGTGGTGGTGGGTGGCTTGAAAGCCGAGAGGGGAAATAACTCCAGCCCAGGGATCAGCAGGAACAGAATGGGGATGAGATACGTCGTCATGGTCAACGTGCCCGTGGTGTCTCAACAGACACGACACAAGTACGGTGAAGACGACAGGGGCTGTGGCAACGTGATGATCAAATGTTGGTGTTTGTTGTACTGCGTTGCGCGTTCACGATGGCACCATCAACGTCTTCGTAGACATCGTCTGTAAACATGAATGCGTCCAGTTTCATTTACTTGTAACAGAAGTTCAGCTAGATAAGGTCGGAAAATGCTTAATGAATTGTGTGTACTTACAACTAGACTACCACACAGGACTCATGTACACAGTGAAGATGTACATGCTAACCTACAAACACCGTGTCTGAACTGGTAGCTCTCTAATCAGTAGGCCGCCTCCGTGGTCTAGTGGTAGAGTGTCCGCCCGGAGAGCGGAAGGTCGGGGGTTCGATCCCAGGCCGCGTCATACCAAAAGACGTTAAAAGATGGTACTTGTTGTTACCCTGTCTGGCGCTCGGCATTAAGGGGCTAAAACAAGGACTGTCGGCTCGGAGTCAGTATACTGTGTCTGAGTGGGGTATTCATGTTAAACTGCGGCATGGTATCTCAGTGATCTAGCACTATATATCGGCATCAGTCTGGACTAGTACAATAAGCTACACAAACGCACATACGTACATGCACGTCGCTAAGTGCAATAATCTTGGACGCGACGTTAAACCCCATTTCACCTCACATCTAGTCTAGTACTCTGTCCTTACTGGCAGATCGATCTCTAATCTAGAACTCTGTCTGGAATCGAACTATGATACTTGGATCACATTGTGCTACCCGAACAATGGCTCTTGGATTACTTTGTCCTACTCGATCAATGGTTCCTGGAATACATTGTCCTACTCGAACAATGGTTCCTGGATTACTTCGTCCTACTCGAACAATGGTTCCTGGATTACATTGTCCTACTCGAACAATGGTTCCTGGATTACTTCGTCCTACTCGAACAATGGTTCCTGGATTACATTGTCCTACTCGAACAATGGTTCCTGGATTACTTCGTCCTTCTCGAACAATGGTCCCTGGATTACATTGTCCTACTCGAACAATGTTTCATGGATTACTTTGTCCTACTCGATCAATGGTTCCTGGATTACATTGTCCTACTCGAACAATGGTTCCTGGATTACTTCGTCCTACTCGAACAATGGTTCCTGGATTACATTGTCCTACTCGAACAATGGTTCCTGGATTACTTCGTCCTTCTCGAACAATGGTTCCTGGATTACATTGTCCTACTCGAACAATGGTTCCTGGATTACTTCGTCCTTCTCGAACAATGGTTCCTGGATTACATTGTCCTACTCGAACAATGTTTCATGGATTACTTTGTCCTACTCGATCAATGGTTCCTGGATTACATTGTCCTACTCGAACAATGGTTCCTGGATTACTTCGTCCTACTCGAACAATGGTTCCTGGATTACATTGTGCTACTCGAACAATGGTTCCTGGATTACTTCGTCCTTCTCGAACAATGGTTCCTGGATTACATTGTCCTACTCGAACAATGTTTCATGGATTACTTTGTCCTACTCGAACAATGGTTCCTGGATTACATTGCCTTACTCGAACAATGGTTCTTGGATAACATTGCCTTACTCGAACAATGGTTCTTGGATTACATTGCCTTACTCGAACAATGGTTCTTGGATTACATTGCCTTACTCGAACAATGGTTCCTGGATTACATTGCCTTACTCGAACAATGGTTCTTGGATTACATTGCCTTACTCGAACAATGGTTCCTGAATAACATTGCCTTACTCGAACAATGGTTCTTGGATTACATTGCCTTACTCGAACAATGGTTCCTGGATTACATTGCCTTACTCGAACAATGGTTCTTGGATTACATTGCCTTACTCGAACAATGGTTCCTGAATAACATTGCCTTACTCGAACAATGGTTCTTGGATTACATTGTCTAAGTCGAACAATGGCCCTAGGGTTACATTGTCCCTACTCATAACGCCACACTCAGCAATATTCCAGCGGTCTGTAAATAATCGAGTCTAGGCCAGACATTCCAGTGACTGATATCATGAGCATCGATCCACGCAATTGGGATACGATGACATGCATCAACCAAGTCAGCGAGCCTGACCAACCGACCCCGTTAGTCGCCTCTAACGACAAGCATGGTTTACTGACTGAGCGCGGCGTAAAGGAACAAAAAACAAAAACAAAAACAAAAACAAAGAAAAACAAAACAAAACAAAACACAGAGTGTTCTGCTTTGGTACCTACACCTCCCCGTTACGAATAGAGTCTGTCCTCTGGGTTTAAATCTACGCCAGCGCGTCCAGGTGACCAAGTCGTCCCTGCAGACGTAGATACAGGTTTAGACCGCCTCCGTGGTGCTGTGGATAGAGCGTCTGTCAAGCAGGGACGGGAGGTCGGTGGTTCGATTCCGATCGCCTCATCGCAAACGACTTTAAAGGATGGTACTTGTGCCGGTTTAAGCCTTCTATGTATATACTCAGTGGCAAATTTGACCTTCGCTTGACATCGCGCAAAATATAAGGGTATTGGTCACGTGACCCCAGACAATAACATGATGACTACTTTTTCATTAATATCATAATATATCATTAATATAATAAATGTATACTTTATTTTGCCCGACAGTGTATATGAACATTACATGACTGTATGCTTAGGAAACATGAAACATGTGACAACATAAATATGTTTCATTTAAGTGAGTGAGTGAGTGTGTACGGTTTTACGTCGCTTTTAGCAATATTCCAGCAATATCATGGCGGGGGACACCATTGTACCCATGTTGGGAATCGAACCCGGGTCTTCGGAGTGACAAGCAAACGCTTCAACCACTAGGCTATCTGACCACCCCTCTATGAGGAGTGAGTGAGAGGTTTTACGCCGCTTTGAGCAATATTCCGGCAATATCACGGCGGGGTACACCAGAAATGGGCTTCACACTTTGTACCCATGTCGGGAATCGAACCCGGGTCTTCGGCGTGACGAGCGAACGTTTTAACCACTAGGCCACCCGACCGCCCCTGTTTCGTTTAAAGAAGCATCATTTATAAGAAATACAATGAAATAGCTTACTACAAATACCGAATTTAACATGAGATGGTTCTATTAAAAATAATGTACTATAACTGAAGTAAATTAAAATGTTTATCATTTAAACTTCTCACCAGAATATTTACCTTCACTGCAGTCGACGAGTTGGAGAGAAATGCCCGTTGATGTACTTGTTGGCTTCAATACTTCTTTGAAAGAACTTCTATATGATTTGATGCTATCACAATAATGACCCAATTGACATTAATCAATTTCTATGACCGCTCCAGCTGTAAAAAGACTTCAAAAGTCTATTGTTGTAATTATCGGGTATTGGGTATCGAGTATCGATGGTAAAAATCAATCCAAACGTTTGTGTTACCATATAATCATTAATTGCATATTTAATACCTTTGAATCAGGTTGATTTAACGCATCTGTGATACTTTCTTTAGCTATCGTCAACTATCCAGTATGGAGACATTGCAGATAAGGAGGTCTATTAAATTTCGGGCAATAATTGTCTGGTTTTTGTTTTGTAAACCAAAGAACATATGCCTGTTAATATCTTGTGATATTTCTTGATCTTAAGAAAAGTGAGACACATGATATTTATGTATTGATAAATTGCTGGGCCAAAGAAAATATACACCCATGTTTGATGGTAGCTAAATATGAAATAAACAAGAAATGGTAATCGTTGTTAATGTACAGTAAAGTACGTTTATAACGAACACGCTTATAACGAACTGATTTTATTGTCCCGACTATTTGCTATAGTTATGCTGCATATATGCTTATAACGAACTATGGTTATAACAAACTAAAGTTAGTGGTCCCTTTGAGTTCGTTATAACCGTAGTTTACTGTATTTGATACTGGTGTCATAGTTGTGTTTTAGAACTTTGTAGTGTTTCGGCGATTGTTTTCAATCTAGTAACATTTTGCTGACTCCAATTTCAAGTGTACAGTAAACTACGGTTATAACGAACTCAAAGGGAACTAATTTTAGTTCGTAATAACCGTAGTTCGTTATAAGCATATATAGAGCATAACTATAGCAAATATTCGGGACAAAAAAATCAGTTCGTTATATCCGTCAGTTCATTTTATGCGTGTTCGTTATAAACGGCCGGGACTAAAAAACAAGTTCGTTATAAGCGTGTTCGTTATAAACGTAGTGTACTGTATATGTTCTTCTGCCGGGAGTTGATGTAAAGGGAGATATTGAAAGACACAACGAAACACACATGCACAGATCAGTTGTCTACATCCTCATAAGTGAGAGCATATTGTTTTACGCCGCTTTTAGCAATAGTCCAGCCATATCACAGCGGGAATGGAAAAAGGGTCCTTGTCAAGACCCGGGTTAAATTGGTCTTCAGCAACCGGTATTTGTCGTAAGAGGCGACTAACGGGATCGAGTGGTATGGTTGACTTGGTTGATGCATGTCATCGTATCCCAGTTTAGTAGATCGATGTGCATATTGTCAATCACTGGATGTTCTGGTTCAGACTCGATATTTCATTGACGTCATATAGGTAGAGTATTACTGACTTGGGCCATAAACAACAAACCAACATGGGGTACGAGATGTAAAGCTGAATGTGAGAAAAATTTGCACTGGAAAACATACTTATAACAATGTCAAGATTATTCAAATGGATGGTGACCCGTGAAGATCCGGGTTAGAACTAGTCTTCAGCAACCCATGCCTGCCGTAAATGGCGACCATGCTTGTCATAAGAGGCGTTATATAAACGGGATGAGGTGGTCAGGCTCGCTGACTTGGTTGATGCATGTCATCGTATTCCAACTGCGTGGATTGATGCTCATGATGTCAATCACTGCATTGTCTGGTCCCGACTCGATTACGCACAGACCGCCGTCAAGAAGCTGGAATAATGCCGAGCGCGGCGTTAAACAACAAACCAACCAAACAAACAAATGCCGGGTGACTGTTGTTTTGTTCATTTTGTGATTAGTTATACACTCTATCCATTTTAGCCGGACACCTGTACCTCCTGCGTCGGGGAGTCAATGGCGGGATAAATAACGTCAATGACCTGAAAAATGACGTCACTTCATCACAGGTCATTGAAATCCACCAACATTCATTTTTGTGTTTCCCTATGTGAAAATGAATCTGTTACTTACTCGCAAATATAGATATTTCCCTTTCCAGAATATAGTAAAGTACGTTTATAACGAACACGCTTATAACGAACTGACGGATATAACGAAGTGATTTTTTTGTCCCGACTATTTGCTATAGTTATGCTGTATATATGCTTATAACGAACTACGGTTATAACAAACTAAAGTTAGTGGTCCCTTCGAGTTCGTTATAACCGTAGTTTACTGTATATAACAAAGACAGCAATACCACAACTAGATATCTTATTAATTTAGATTCATTTATATGAAGTTGTTTGTTTTCTATGTGTAATAACTGGCTGTATATTAATCTTGAAAGAACACATAGCTGGTAAATAAAGCCGCGGTCGTGGCACACAGGCCAGCACAATGATATCGCCATGATCGCGTTACAGAACAGGTGTCCAACTATTTATTGGAAAAAGACAGATATACGAAAAAATCCTAGCATTCTAACATAATGACACCCTGGAACTGGCCGCAGCGGTCTGTAAGGAATCTGTGGAAGAATAAATCCCTTGTACCTAAAATATGGAATATGCGCCTGTGTGGGGATCTGGTGACACTTTGACTGGGCTCCTGTCTGTCTAATATAGTAAAAAGCGATGTTAGCGTACCAACGGCTTTCCTCTATGTATTTTTAATGAGTTTGCAATGGCAGTAGATCTAGTTTTTGTTTTTTTATCGCTTCGGGGAACAATTTTCCACATGAATGAAAATTCAGAGCCGGCGGGAGATGGGAAACTCAGAAATAAATACGGATTTTCGAGTTGCACCCGACTCGCCTAAAAAAAATCTGACCCGACTCGCCCAAAAAATATATATACTATTTTGGTATGCGTTTGGCAAATATAAATTAGGTTAGGCCTAATGATGACAATTACTAGTATATTCATACACAAGTATGGAAATAATATTTTAAAAAACCCGTATCTTCCATAGAATTTGTCTTCTGTCATATTTACATCTGCACTTCATGTTGAGTCAGTGAGTCAGAGCCCAGTCGGTTAAGCTATTGGGACCGAGACTACAACACTAACATTTAGGTACATTATGTGTATAGCATTACTATGTATTTCTGATAGTTACATACTTATTCTAAAATGCAAAAGCCGACCGTAGTCCGCTCAAAAACATTTTAGGCGAGTCGGGTCAAAATCTTTTTAGGCGAGTCGGATTTTAGGCGAGTTGATATTCTCATGATTGGAACCGGTTGGTAACGAATGTAGCTTCCGCAAGTTGACAACACGCAAGGAGAGCCAAGAACCAGGTTATCGGTCAGCATCGCAAGCTTTTTATAGTAATCGTTTATTTCTGTGCATGAAAAAACCGTAGCAAGGTTTGTAGATTTGTTGAAAATGCCAAATGAAGGAAATAGGCTTATTATGTTTAGAACAAAAATCCTGAAAAATGCAATTTCGTTAGTGGTGGTCGTTTTTGAACGCTAAATACGAGTTATCTCCCTTGGAATAACATTTCCTTGGTAGGAATACTTGGACAAAACTGCGTTGTAAATGTGAGGATGTAAACTTTGGGTTTTTGTTATTAAGTGATATTGGGGAATTGATGACCGTGGAGACTGGTTTTGTGCGCGGTGAGTTATGGAGGAGACATATGCAGTTAGAAAGCAAACATTTTATGACGGCTACATACGGAACAAAACCCTGCAGTCTAACATTATCAGTCTTACTCCCCTCTCTTAGTATTGTGCTTGACAAGGATCTCGTCGCCGACTAGCATCCCTCCCAAGACACACACACCGGCTCTCGGTTAACCGACAAACAGCCGAGTTTGTGCACCGAGCATTTGACGACCAGAGTCTTGTCTAACCCTTCGGGACCATCCCTTTCATTTTCCGGGGTGTTTGAAATTTTGGTTTGACAACAGCATTTTTTTTATGTTCAAGAGCGCAAATAAAAATAACGAACTGCTTAAAGATGCATATACCATAATATAGTCTGCTGGAAAATGGCATATTTTTTTTTTCAACAATCTGAAGCATATGTTTTTTTATACAGTTTTTTCATTTATTTTCTACCTTTTGTGAGGTGAGGTGAAATTGGGTTTAACGTCGGGTCCAAGATTATTGCACTTATATATAGCGACGTGCATGCATGTGTGTGTGTGTGGCTGCTTGTACTAGACCGGACTGATGCCGATTTATAGTGCTAGCCCACTGAAATACCATGCCGCAGTTTAACATGAATATCCCACTCAGACACAGTATACTGACTCTGAGCCAACAAATCCTTGTTTTAGCCCCTTAATGCCGAGCGCCAGGCAGGGTAACAACAAGTACCATCTTTTAACGTCTTTTGGTATGACGCGGCCAGGGATTGAGCCCCGGACCTTCCGCTCTCCGGGCGGACGCTCTACCACTAGACCACGGATTCTACCTTTTGTTAGAAGATGGCAAGGTTCCAGTTTGTCAATAGCTCTATCGTGCCCAGCTCTATAGTTCCCAACTCTATAGTGCCCAGCTCTATAGTGCCCAACTCTATAGTGCCCAGCTCTATAGTGACCAGCTCTATAGTGACCAGCTCTAGCTGTGGATCTCACTTCAAGGATTTGTCATTCCTCTGTGGTCCAGACTCCATAGTATTAGTTGTGTTAGGGTGAGGGGCGGTCGAGTAGCCTAGTGGTTAAAGCGTTCGATTTTCATGCTGAAGACCTTGGTTCGATTCCCCACATGGGTACAATGTGTGAAGCCCATTTCTGGGGTTCCCCGCCATGATATTGCTTGAATATTGCTAAAAGCGGCGTAAAACCATACTCACTCGCTCACTCACTCACTCTAGGTTTGTAAGCACCATACCAGTGCTCGTGGGTTTCATCAAAGTGGTAGACATCGGAGACCTGCATTACTTTGTGCTTTCCTCCCACATTAAGCTGACACGCTGTGATATAACTGTTGACAGGGCTCAAATTAGCTGTCTGAACATTCACCAGTGCAACATGTTATTGAAAAGTACAATCAATTTTTTATGTCTACATGTACTAAGTGCATGAAAAAAAAAATCAAATTTGCTTCTGACAAGCCCTCACTTTTCCTCATAGCAACGATCTCTGAACACATTTAATATCTCTGAAGTATATTTACCATACTACATCACTACTCTTGACCGCCTCCGTGGTCTAGTGGTAGAGCGTCCGGCCGGAGAGAGGAAGGTCTGGGGTTCGATCCCCGGCCGCGTCATACCAAAAGACGTTAAATGATGGTACTTGTTGTTACTCTGTCAGGCGCTCGGCATAAAGGGGCTAAAACAAGGACTGGTCGGCTCGGATTCGGTATACTGTGTCTGAGTGGGGTATCCATGTTAAACTGTGGCATGATATCTCAGTTGACTAGCACTATAAATCGGCATCAGTCGGGACTAGTACAAGCAGCCACACACACACACGTCGCTATATAAGTGCAATAATCTTGGACGCGACGTTAAACCCAATTTCACCTCACCTCACCTCACCTCACCTCACCTCACCTCACCTCACCTCAGTGTTGTATAATGCGTCATTTTTCTTGGACTTGATGTCATCAAACTGTGGGTACTTCAACATTATGTGTACATGTTCCTATTACGTTTATACAGCATCAGTTAAAAAATCATGACACAGTCATCAGTGATCTGAGAATTTATGTATTTAGACTAGTTTATGCATCCATGTTTCAACTTTGATAATATAAATCCTCCTGGGGCCCATGCAGGTAGCAAAGGTACTGTAAGTCCCCATGGTCCCCAGTATGGTGATCTCCCTTCAGTGGTTGGCGATCAATAGCCCGTTTTTATCATATCTTGTGTATCGTTAAATCTTTTTATAGCTCCATGCTAGTTTTATATTCATATCTGTGATAGTCTGGTTTGTTTTACTGTCCTTTGTCGAAGGGTTTATTATATAGTCAAAATGTATTTATTATTGACGTATAAATTGATCTCATCACTATACGGCTGAAATATTGCCGATGTGACGTTAAATCTTAACTCACTCACTCACTCAACTTTGATAAATTTATGGAACCAGGGTGCCACCTGCTTATTTCTCGTACCACTAGGTTTCAATGTCAACATGTACCTGGTGCAAGTAAAGTCAAGTTCCTTAAATCAAGCCCTGTTTGAAAGCAGCAGTATCCAAACTTGCTCACTTGTCAAGTATATGCTTGCCAATTCTAGACTCGGTTACTTACAGACTGCTGTGATAGAACACTTACTGTACACCATGGGGTTACAAGTCAGTAGGACCCGTGAAGATCCGGGGTAAAATAGGTCTTCAGCAAACCATGCTTGCCGTAAAAGCGACTATGCTTGTTGTAAGAGGCGACTAACAGGATCGGGTGGTCAGGCTCGCTGACTTGGTTGATGCATGTCATCATCTTCCAATTGCGTGGTTCCCTCGTCACGCCGAAGACCCGTGTTAGATTCCCAACATGGGTACAATGTGTGAAGCCCATTTCTGGTGTCCCCCGCCATGATATTGCAGGAATATTGCTAAAAACCGGCGTAAAACCATACTCACTCACTCACTCCAATTGTGTGGATCAATGCTCTTGATATCAATCACAAGATTGTCTGGTCTCGATTATTTATGCACCGCCATCATATGGCTGAGTACGGCATACAACAACAAACAAATACAGTCAGGAGACTTTAGGGCTTTTAGTAAGTAGTCATTATTTCTTTCGGCTTAGTAAAAAAACACATGAATAGCGGACAAGCTGTCAATTTAAATTTGCGATACGAAATCATCTCTATGCCAATGTTCCAACCACTCAGTAAGGAGACAAGTTGACATCTGCTTTCGTTTCATCACCGCAGTTATGCAAATATCAAACACTGACTGGCTTTGTTGTGTAGTTAGATCTATGAATTTTATGAAATTTTAGCTTAATTACTATTAACAGTAAAGTTTTAATTTATGCTAATCAGTCTTTAATGGCCTTTGAACATCTTTTGAGTTGTTTTACGCATTCCGGGGCATAGGTCTTCAGCAACCCATGCTTGTCGTAAAAGGCCACTAACGGGATTGGGTGGTCAGGCTCGCTGACTTGGTTGATGCATGTCATCGATCCCAATTGCGTGGATCGATGGTCATAATATCAATCACTGGATTGTCTGGTCCAGACTCTATTATTTACAGACCACCGTCATATAGCTGGAATATTGCTGAGTGTGGCGTTAAACAACAAACCAACCAACCAACTTAAGAGTGTACCCCATATGGACCCTTTTCTAATAGCATAATTTTCTTTTCCAGTTGAAGTCTCCTGGCAGTGACAGGTTAGAAGCTTCTAAGAATAACCAGTGGTGTCAGGAATGAGACCTGGATCACTTGTGTGAATCACTCCTGTCAAAGATGTAGCAGCACATGTACTTGGAGCACATTCTGCTGTGAAACACAGATTTCAGTATCACTCAGATCTTTGTTTTACCTTGCCAAGGACCCAATTATGAACAATAAAGGAATCAAAGAAGAAATGCCCAAACTTTTCGTCTTGGATCAGGGGATGGTAGAACTATTTTCACAAAGACATTGCAAGATATTCCACACGTGCTACATTGTTGATTGACTAATTAAGAATCTGACAGTTTCAACAACCGTTTCAAGTCCGTTATCCAGTTGTCCAGTTGCACCAGCATCACCAGGCTTCAAGATGAACTATCAGAGCACTGAAGGCCAGCGATCAGCCTTTGAGATGGCAGAGACTAACCAGGCCATGTCTGCAGTTCCCCTGGAACATGGCTCAAGTTCCAGCAACAACCATTACCCTCTGAATCAGCTCCATCCAACTCTACCCGCGGCACCCTGGCAACATGGCCCTCCTTTCTTTGACCTCCCTATGCATCTGTTGTCCAGCATTGGACCAAGACCATCCGTACCTCCTCAAGGTGCTTCTCCAGCTCCACCTGCTACTCTTCCCCTGACTCAACCCTGTCCTGTTGCTTCAAATGATGCTTTGGGTGTGTCTCAGACACCGTCAGAGATGATGCCTCAAGGATTAACAGATCCTGAAGTTTCAGCTCCCCTTCCACAAGCTGTAGCCACACCAGCCACATCTATGAACATCTTCACAAGCCTTGCTCCTCCGGGAAACAATTCCAATTTCACTCATATTAGACTGGGACCCAAGAATCAGGGTAATCCCGACTTGAATTTTGTCAGCTCGTTGCAGCCCTTCCAGTCTCTGACTCAACAAGATCTTATTGTAAGTCCACTCCAGAGTGGCATGTTGGCAGGTCGCACGACCAAACAATTTATTGAACTGCTTCCTCAGAGCCGGATCCATCATAAAGAGTTTGATGCTTATCTGCATCCGTCGGTGGAGAAACCAAAGGTCAGTGAAGGTCATGGCTTTGAGCTTGGTCATCAGAATGAACATCAAGGCGAACACAGCCAAAAGGAGCTTCACGGCCACGAAACTGTGTCAGATATATCTGCAAAAGATGCTACACATGATGACAGTTCAGAACGACTGGATCATGCCAAGCTTATCCTTGGGTTAACCATGATTGGCATGGAAATGACAAATGCCTTGAGTTCAGATTCCACAAATGCCAGTTCAGCACAGGAACAGATGAATGTGTGTAGCAATATCAGTGTTCCTGGCGCTGCGCCTGAGGTAAACAGTTGCACTCAACCTTCTGAACAGCCTTTTGTTTCCAACAGCTCTGCTGTAACCCCAAACCATCCTGTGTCATTGAACACTCAAACTCTGCTGGCACAGAGCAACATCACTGAAGTTGCCAGGTCAAATAAAAACAATTCTGAAACTGATACTGAGAACCGGAACTTTAAATGCTCGGTCTGTGAGAAGCGGTTTAAGAAGAAGTGGCATCTGACTGCCCATGAGCAGAGGCACAGCGGTGTGAAACCCCACCATTGTTCCTTGTGTGGAAAGTCCTACACAGACGTTGGTACATACAACAGACACATGAAGACACACACTGGAGAGAAGGACTGTATTTGTGTTGTATGTGGGAAGGCCTTCTATGACTCCGGAGCGCTCACCAACCACTTCAAGGTACATACAGGGGAGAAACAGCATGTGTGTTGGATCTGTGGCAAAGCATTTGCTCACTCGGGAGGTCTCCAGGTCCACGTTCGAAGCCACACCGGAGAACGACCGTATGAATGTAGTCAGTGTGGGAAATGCTTCAGCAAGTCCAGCAAGCTCGTTGTCCACGCCCGGAGTCATTCCGGGATCAAGCCTTACCAGTGTGTGTACTGTGGCAAGGCTTTCAGTGTCTCCAGCAACCACAAGGCTCATCTCAGGACACATACTGGACGAAAGAACTTCAAGTGCAATATTTGTGGAAAGGTGTTTGGGTCTTCAGTTGACTTGGAGTCTCACTCAGCAAGCCATGTGAAGCCTCCAGTGTTTAAGTGTAAGCAGTGTGGCAAGATGTATGTTGAGGAGGACAGGTTAAAGGAACATCTCACTACCCACACAGGAAAGAAGCTGTTCAAGTGTGATCTGTGTGGGAAGGAATTCAAGCGATCATCCAACTTCAGACTTCACAGGAAATACCATGAGTCCAAAAAGCCGTACAGTTGTGAAATTTGTGCTCGCGGATTTTGCAAGTATACGGATATGGTTCGGCATAAGAAAGTTCACAAATGCAAGCAGGTGTTCAAGTGTGATGTGTGTATGACGCAGTTCAGCCTGCTTATTACATTACAGATGCACCAGATGCGAGTTCACGGACCTCTGAAGACGTTCAGGTGCGAGATTTGCAAGAAGAGTTTTAGTCGGCAGGAAGAGCTAAAGGTGCATACACGTACCCACACAGGGGAACGTCCCTACAAGTGTCGAGTGTGTGGCCAAGGGTTCTGTGGCCCAGGAGGGCTCAGGAAGCATCTGAAGAAACATCCTGAACTGAAAGAACAAGAGGCAGAAGCATCCAAGAAGGTGAAGAAGGTTTACCAGTGTGACACTTGCGGCCGCTCATTCCAACAATCCAGCCATCTTAAGGCTCATCTTCGGCGACATACTGGAGAAAAACCTCACGAATGTAGCACCTGTGGTAAAAGATTCAGTGATGTTGGGATGCTAAACAGACATGTGAAAATACACACAGGAGAAAGATCCCACGTGTGTGTTGCTTGTGGTAAAGGTTTCATCGATGCCGGAAGTCTTCAGAAGCACATGACGACACACACTGGAGTCAAGCCCTATAGCTGCACCGTCTGTCAGAAGAGCTTCAGTTTCCCCGGAGACCTTCAGGTCCACAAACGTTATCACACTGGTGAAAAACCGTTCAAATGTTCCCAGTGCAGTAAAGCCTTCACCAAGTCAAGTAAGCTGCGGGTTCATAGCAGAATACACAGTGGCGAGAAGCCTTACAAGTGTACGCAGTGCGGGAAGGAATTCAGTGTGTCCAGTAACCTCCGCACCCACTTGAAAGTCCACAACAGTTCCACAGACACGACACACAAGTGTAAACCCTGTGGGCAGAGGTTCCCTAGTGAGGATCTTCTCCAGCAGCACCAAGCTTCCACCCACTCTGGACTCCAACTGTTGAAGTGTGACCAGTGCAGTCAGGAGTTCCTAGAGCAGCATCGGCTTCAAGAACACATGTTCTCCCACACGGGGCAGAAGCCTTTTAAGTGTGAGACATGTGGGAAGCAGTTCAAGAAGGCTCACAACTACAAGAGTCACCTCCAGTCCCACAGCAACATCAGACCCTTTCCTTGTGACACATGTGGTAGAGCCTTTTTGAAGAACGGGGATCTGAAGAACCATCTCAGATCCCATACCGCTGAAAATGGTTTTAAGTGTGAGTTCTGTACAGAAGCGTTTCAGCAGGCCAAGGACCTCCATGTCCATTTTGTGAAGACCCATGCACCTGACAAGCTCCATACATGTGAGGTTTGCGGGAAGGGGTTTGACAAATTGTCCGAGTTCAAGGTCCACCGACGGACACACACAGGCGAGAGACCCTTTCAGTGTTCTGTGTGCCACAAGTCATTCTGTAGCCGTGGAGGATTAACAAAACATGAGCTAAAATGTCATGAATTTCAGAACAGGCTAGCAGTGTATTCCTGTGGAATCTGTGGACAAAAATACAAGGACTCCGATGCTTTGCAGGAACATCTGCATACACACTCGGATGTTAACAAGGCGCTCATGAACGGTGGCAGTTTGCCTCGCCAACACACTGGACCCCTAGGCGATGCAGCTGGTTATCAGGATGTGAATATTCATTCCCAGAATGCACAGAGCCTAATGCAGCAGAACATCCCTTCCCAGTCTCATTTACAACCAAGCTCTCAACGAACTCCAACAAAAGCCTCCAACAATTTAGACATCAGTATTCATTATCAGAACCCTTCTCTGGCTCCAAATCTTAATCTCTCGGATACGTTGAAAATGACAAGCATCCGTCCTTTTCAAGATGTTTCAAAGATGCAACAAACAAATGTATGTGATGACCTGGGAATGAGCAGAGTCAGTTCTAACAATCTTCTGCAGCAAATAGGGGTGTCATGTGGAGGATCTGATACCGCCTACACCCAACAGAACACAGGGTCAGATACAGCCTACTCCCAACAGAACACAGGATCTGATACCGCCTACACCCAACAGAACACAGGGTCAGATACAGCCTACTCCCAACAGAACACAGGATCTGATACAGCCTACACCCAACAGAACACAGGGTCAGATACAGCCTACTCCCAACAGAACACAGGGTCAGATACAGCCTACACCCAACAGAACACAGGGTCAGATACAGCCTACACCCAACTGAACACAGGATCTGATACAGCCTACACCCAACAGAACATAGGGTCAGATACAGCCTACACCCAACAGAACACAGGGTCAGATACAGCCTACACCAAACAGAACACAGGGTCTGATGCAGCCTACACCCAACAGAACACAGGACCAGATACGACCTACACCCAACAGAACACAGGGTCTGATACAGCCTACACCCAACAGAACACAGAGAGTGATACAGCCTACACCAAACAGAACACAGACAATGATACAGCCTACACCCAACAGAACACAGGGTCCGATACAGCCTACACCCAACAGAACACAGGGTCAGATACAGCCTACTCCCAACAGAACACAGGGTCAGATACAGCCTACACCCAACAGAACACAGGGTCAGATACAGCCTACTCTCAACAGAACACAGGGTCAGATACAGCCTACTCCCAACAGAACACAGGATCTGATACAGCCTACACCCAACTGAACACAGGATCTGATACAGCCTACACCCAACAGAACATAGGGTCAGATACAGCCTACACCCAACAGAACACAAGTTCAGATACAGCCTACACCAAACAGAACACAGGGTCTGATGCAGCCTACACCCAACAGAACACAGGACCAGATACGACCTACACCCAACAGAACACAGGGTCTGATACAGCCTACACCAAACAGAACACAGAGAGTGATACAGCCTACACCAAACAGAACACAGACAATGATACAGCCTACACCCAACAGAACACAGGGTCCGATACAGCCTACACCCAACAGAACACAGGACCAGATACAGCCTACACCAAACAGAACACAGACAATGATACAGCCTACACCCAACAGAACACAGGGTCTGATACAGCCTACACCCAACAGAACACAGGGTCCGATACAGCCTACACCCAACAGAACACAGGACCAGATACTGCCTACTCCCAACAGAACACAGGATCTGATACAGCCTACACCCAACAGAACATAGGACCAGATACAGCCTACACCCAACAGAACACAGGGTCAGAAGCAGCCTACTCTCAACAGATCACAGGGTCAGATACAGCCTACTCCCAACAGAACACAGGGTCAGATACAGCCTACTCCCAACAGAACACAGGGTCTGATACAGCCTACACCCAACAGAACACAGGATCAGATACAGCCTACACCCAACACAACACAGGGTCAGATACCGCCTATACCCAACAGAACACAGGATCTGATACAGCCTACTCCCAACAGAACACAGGATCAGATACAGCCTACTCCCAACGGAACACAGGACCAGATACTGCCTACTCCCAACAGAACACAGGATCTGATACAGCCTACTCTCAACAGAACACAGGGTCAGATACAGCCTACTCTCAACAGAACACGGGGTCAGATACAGCCTACACCCAAAAGAACACAGGGTCAGATACAGCCTACTCTGAACAGAACACAGGGTCAGATACAGCCTACTCCCAACAGAACACAGGGTCAGATACAGCCTACTCCCTACAGAACACAGGGTCTGATACAGCCTACACCCAACAGAACACAGGATCAGATACAGCCTACACCCAACACAACACAGGGTCAGATACCGCCTATACCCAACAGAACACAGGATCTGATACAGCCTACACCCAACAGAACACAGGGTCTGATACAGCTTACACCCAACAGAACACAGGGTCAGATACAGCCTACTCTCAACAGAACACAGGGTCAGATACAGCCTACACCCAACAGAACACAGGATCTGATACAGCCTACTCTCAACAGAACACAGGGTCAGATACAGCCTACTCTCAACAGAACACAGGGTCAGATACAGCCTACACCCAAAAGAACACAGGGTCAGATACAGCCTACTCTCAACAGAACACAGGGTCAGATACAGCCTACACCCAAGAGAACACAGGGTCAGATACAGCCTACTCCCAACAGAACACAGGGTCAGATACAGCCTACTCCTAACAGAACACAGGGTCAGATACAGCCTACACCCAACTGAACACAGGGTCAGATACAGCCTACACCCAACTGAACACAGGATCTGATACAGCCTACACCCAACAGAACACAGGGTCAGATACAGCCTACTCCCAACAGAACACAGGGTCAGATACAGCCTACTCCCAACAGAACACAGGGTCTGATACAGCTTACACCCAACAGAACACAGAGAGTGATACAGCCTTCACCCAACAGAACACAGGATCAGATACATCCTACACCCAACAGAACACAGGACCAGATACAGCCTACACCCAACAGAACACAGGATCTGATACAGCCTACACCCAACAGAACACAGGGTCAGATACAGCCTACACCCAACAGGACAAAGGGTCAGATACAGCCTTCACCCAACAGAACACATGATCTGATACAGCCTACACCCAACAGAACACAGGGTCAGATACAGCCTACACCCAACAGAACACAGGGTCAGATACAGCCTACACCCAACAGAACACAGGATCTGATACAGCCTACACCCAACAGAACACAGGGTCAGATACAGCCTACACCCAACAGGACAAAGGGTCAGATACAGCCTACTCCCAACAGAACACAGGATCTGATACAGCCTACACCCAACAGAACACAGGGTCAGATACAGACTACACCCAACAGAACACAGCCATTGTGGGACTACCTGATGTGGCTAGTAGCTAGGTGGGAGTTTATTCACAGCATAGTGTTCCTTCTATGGAGCAGATGTCTGTCAACAGATTGTGAAAATACATTCACAGAGCCTGCCTGCAGGGAACAAAATAGAACCTCGCACATCTGGTTGAATTCCTTCACTGCAGGATCCCCGGACACAACAGTCAGACACCATCAATCTAATTAAAACAGATCTTTACTTCAATCCGATACTTTTCTGCTGTAGTTTTGAATGTTGTTCAATGCAATAGAGGGATCATCTAAGATGCGCAAGTTGTTGCTGTGCAGAGTTGCATCCCTTGGGTGCTCCAGAAACAAATGATTGTGGTTCGATTGTGGGGCACTTATTGGAGCAGAGTGATTAATACAGCAGTGTTATTTACTGGTTAGTGTGATATAGCTGCATTGTACATTGTACATATATGTCCGTGGTCTAGTGGTAGAGCGTCCGCCCGGAGAGTGGAAGATCCGGGGTTCGATCTCCGACCGCGTCATACCAAAAGACGTTAAGAGATGGTACTTGTTGTTACCCTGTCTGGCGCTCGGCATTAAGGGGCTAAAACAAGGACTGGTCGGCTCGGAGTCAGTATACTGTGTCTGAGTGGGGTATTCATGTTAAACTGCAGCATGGTATCTCTGTGGGCTAGCACTATAAATCGGCTTCAGTCTGGACTAGTACAAGCAGCCACACAAACACACACACATACATACATGTCGCTACATAAGTGCAATAATCTTGGACGTGACGTTAAACCCCATTTCACCTCACCTCACCTCACCTTGTACATATATGTTATTAACTGAAATGTATTATGCGACTCCTAATATGATATTAACAATATAAAATCACACATGGCTTATAATTTCTATTTATCTACTTAGAATTGAAATGTCTGTGGACATAATTACTTCACAGTATGAAATGTACTCCTGCTTTGTTTGTTATTTATTGTTGATAGATTTCATATGTTCAATAATATAATGGAAATATTCTGTATTTCATCACAAATAAACAATCTTGAATAGAACAAAGTGCAATGTTTTATGTTTTTTTATTAATGTACCTTGCCAAGACATTTTCTCACGGGTTCATAATTCTATATACACCGATTCACAAAATAGCGTCTCATTGATGGCAACATAATGATGATTATGAGGTTAAAAAAAGACAACAGAAACAGCTTCCCACATTAGGGGAGTGGATGAGTGTTTTTTAAAATCTTTATTAGAAGTTATAATGACTTTTTCAATATAATTACGTTTTTCAACTTATATTATTGAACATCTGCAAATACCGGTACAGTCTTGCAGTCCGACTTCGCGGTGTGTCGTTGCCTTTTACTTCCTGGTTCGACTTATCTACGGGTTATAACGTTCTTTCAGATTTCAAGGGTCAATTAATACCTTGGGGTCTACAGGGTCGCTTTTCTGTGGTCAAATATGGTAACAACAAAAAATTAAATATTTTTCGTCAACAGGTTTCAATACCAACACCATGACTAGGCCTACTACAGCATGGTGTTGACCTCAGGTCAGATAACAACAGACTACTTTCCTGATTGATTTGTTGGTTTGTTGTTTAACGCCGCACTCAGCAATATTCCAGCTATTTGACGGCGGTCTGTAAACAATCGAGTCTGGACCCGACAATCCAGTGATTAATATCATGAGCATCGATCCACGCAATTGGGATCGATGACATGCATCAACTAAGTCAGCGAGGCTGACCACCTGATCCCGTTAGTCGCCTTTTACTTTTCCTGATTGAAATTCATTGACAAGTTTCTTGTGCTTCGGTCAAAACTTTTTTGTTTTGAGTGTTCAATAAATGTTCTTTGATCATGACGTCACTCATGACTAGTGTGTTGTGTATTAATTATTATCATCCAAAACTGGCTCCCACAGGAGATATTGCTTGGGTGAGATCAAGCGATATATCTACACTGTAGATATTGCTGGAATGAAATTGCATCACAATGCTTTGCAGACCATTGTGACGTCATTGGTTACCATGATGTCACAATCAAATGACATCACTAATGGCTCTGCTACTGAAGCTGTGAGCAGTACTTTTTACACTTATTACTGTCTACAAACTGAAAAAGTTGGAAGAATGATGTTGGATGATAAATAAAATCTCACCCTTGTGTCTTTTGATATCAAATATATCAACACTCGTTGATAAAAGTGGCAAAAATCCTCGGCAAGCCTCGGAGTTTTCCCACTTTTATTAACTCGTGTTGATATATTTGATATCAAAAGACACTCTGGTGAGATTCTCGATATGCACCACTGCAATCAGGAGAATAGACAAAATATGCATTGGAAGCTAAAGTTGTGTGGAAGAAACAGATTACTTCACATGTGCCCGTCATATACCATTTATCTTACGACTCATACATAGTATCTCACAGACTTGTCTAGTACTCTATGAAGCCCAGGGGTGACGGGTATACAGGAGTACATTCAGTAAATGTTAACTTTACTGTAACTTCTCAACAACCAACACATTGGATGTTCAGTTGAAATATATTTTATAGCAATTCTCTTCCAGTGAGTGAGTATGGTTTTATGCCGCTTTTAGCAATATTCCAGCAATATCACGGCGGGGGGACACCAGAAATAGGCTTCACAAGTACCCATGTCGGGAATCGAACCCGGGTCTTCGGCGTGACGAGCAAACGCTTAAACCACTAGGCTACCCAACCACCCCTAAAACATTCATGCAGAGTACATAGAGGCTGTCACATGGTCATGGCTTGTTCATGTCGGCATTCTTCAGCAAACCTGTCAGAACTTGTGCTACAAACATGAGCGTAAAACTGAACTATCAAACACATGAGACACTTGTATTTGCCAGTGGTTTCATTATGCAACGTATAGAAGATCGCCTTTCAGCACAGTGAGTGAGTGAGTGAGTTTGGTTTTACGCCGCTTCTAGCAATATTCCAGCAATATCACGCCGGAGGGACACCAGAAATAGGCTTCACACCATGTTGGGATTCGAACCCGGGTCTTCGGCGTGACGAGCGAACGCTTTAACCACTAGGCTACCCGACCGCCCCTTTCAGCACAGAATTCCAGATAGCATTGTGAAGAGATTGATACTACACTATGTCAATGCTGTTGAAGCCTACACAGGTAAGTAAGCAGGAAACTATAATGGAACCTAGAAATATCACAGTGAGGTGAAATTGGGTTTTATGTTGCATTCAAGATCATTGCACTTATGTGCCTATTTAATAGCGCCAGCCCAGCGAGATACCATGTATGGATATCCCACTAAACATTACACAGGCCCTTCCTTGTTTCATGAAAGCCAGGCAGGGTAACGGCAACTACCATCTTTTGGTATTCTCAGAACAGTCTCTATCCAATGGGCCGAGGAGGAGAGCAATATTGTTGCATGTGGACTTCAGAAATGGGCTTCACACTTTGTAGTCATGTTTGGAACTAAAGCCAGGCTTTCAGTGATTTGTTTGTTTGTTTGTTGTTTAACAATAGCAATATTCCAGCTTTATGACAGCAGTCTGTAAATAATCGAGTCTGGACAAGACAAACCAGTGATTGACATCAAGAGCATCGATCCATGCAATTGGGATCGAGCCTTCAGTGTGATGACGTGTGAATGCATCAACAACAAAGATGCCCACTTCCCCCATTTGAACAAAGTAATGAACACTCTTTGAAAGAAAAAAAAAGGTTTATTCAGCATCTGCATCATGTCTTGATGATTAAGGCACTTGAGTCAACGTTGACAATGGACAGAGACAAAAGTGTGTACAAATAGGACAGAAACATCACTACTGCTGCACAAACAACTTAACAGGCTAAGATATTGACCATACAAACTCCAAATACCAGTTTCAGTCTCCAGTTATTTCTTACACAAATATTTTTTTACTAATCAGCCCCACAGAAAGTGTGTTTCCCAAATTACTTTTTGCTGCTCTGACTGCCCAAGCTGTAATGTTTCGAAACAGACCTATGACTGTCAAAGTTCATAAATTATTTTGAAGAACGTTGTCGGGAATAAAAGATCGACATCTTGACAATATTCTGCAATGTTTCGGTTGAATCCGGTATTGGTGCAGCAGGAGGACGCAAGGATGAAAACACGTAATTTCATTTGCGGTTTTAACACATCCGCCATCTCAGCACAAGTACACGCTAGAGGTTTAATCACTCAACCAAACTCATGTAGAAATTGAAAAAACAACATTAGCTCTAGAGAAACATGTGAAAATAGGACAGTTAATACTGGCAGAAAAAAACATGGATTTCAAAACACCAAAATTTGAATATCTGTAAGATCACTGACGATTATGAGCAAAGTTGAATTTTTATGCAGACAAAATAGCTTGTGGGCCATGATGTCTTTGGACAACTACTTGTCAACTAGAAAAATAGTCTTTATTTCCTGTAATTGTCAATATCCTTTAGAACTACTACTGATAATTTCAAGTGGAATTCATAACAGTCAGCATCCTGATAGTGAGCTACAGTTCTTACATAGAAATCAGACAAAACTCAAAGGAGGACCACCTGTGACTTGATACCATTGCAGCCTCCATCATTAACTACTGTGTATGTTGCAGAGTCATGTTAACAGAGCTTCAGATTGCCAAGGGACCCAGGGCAATGACCCCCCCAAAAAACAAATGACCCTACAATTTAGCAATATGGTACTCATGGCTGATATTTCAGGTACCATTAGTATCCCAGGTGGTGGGCAGTTTGGACTGTTCTATTCAAATTCTCAATCTGATGCTATGTACTTCTTGTCATGACAACACTACAAAAGATCAATAGACTCAAGACATGGTGCGAAGGCCTTTAGAGAAGCAAGGTATTTTGCAGAGTAGATCATAGACATTTCACCTCCTAGCTGGACTATAAGTTCTGACAGCAAAATCCTGTTACATTGAATATAATTAAAACTTAACCTAAACAAGTACCTGGATCAGGTACAGCCTCAAATTATTGACAAACACTACCAGTATGTCAGATCATCAGGTCATCTTTCTGGCATTTGAGAAGCTGTAGTATCAGTGGAGATAGCAGATTTATTGACTTAAACTTCTTTATTCTTTCAATGCAAAGTTTTGGTCCAGATGCATGTACCCATATCAAGCAAGCAGCTACTGTACTAGTCAAATCTGTCTTCAGGTAATGCCACAAAATGTAACTTTGCTAGACTATCGCTAAATCAATATTGATCTTGATAAATGTTTGGTACTGTTGCAAGATAAACTGTCAGTGGCCCTATACAAGTAAGAGATGCAATGGCTATGATCTGACCTGCTAAGACTCGCCTTGCTGACATACAGAATGAGCTTCATGTGTATGAACACCTTTTTGTATGGCAGCAAGATGAAAGTAAAACCAGAAAGTTGTCATCTACCCTTGATAAAAAAAAAAACCATTCAAAAATGGTTCGTTAACTGTTAAAAACAGCTCATCAACATCTCAAGTCAAACATCTGAAAAAAGAATGATGGAAAGAGTTAGGATGTCGCATAAAAATGTCAAGTTGCATCCTTGTACACAAGTGTTCCAAATGTAGAGCTTATGAAATTGTTATGCAACAATTCAATTTCCTAGATTCTTTCTTCAAGCTGGAATTCAAGGAAGAGACCCAAAGTTTAAACCATTAGTTTCATTGTTCGATAGAACCGGGATTCAAACGTTACTCTTGAAATAATTTATCCTCAATTCGACACCCTCCGAGAATGGGCCATGTGAAAATAAAGCTTACATTTGACTTGATCTTCCAGCAATTTTCATGTTGATGCTATTTTGATGCTAGTAGTCCCACCCTCCCAACAAGTGTTACTCCCTTCCCTTTAAACATGGCCATAGGCCTTATCCCTCAACTTGCAATAAATGTGAACTGACCACATCACACAAACCTTCTCCAAACTACTAACATTTACGCCAGTGTTGACAATGAAGGGTTCAGAACTTGCCTGAAAGGACAGACTGAAAACCGCACGGTCCCGCTCCACAAAGTACAGCGACGACTATCAAAACTCCAGCTCTCCAGATCGGTGTCCTAGCGTTACACTTTGTGGATTGGGGCACTTTCTTCCCTTCTCTTTGAGAACATTTGACCTCCTTTCAAGAGCATAAATACAACAACCCAGCACATTTGTTAATATTGGCAATACCAACCGTCTCTTTTCATGCCCTTCCCGTCAAATACAAGGATTTGATGTCAGCTCACAATTTTGTAACATTGATAGAAAGCAGGAGAACAATGCAATGTGATCAGTTCAGCATCACCATGGCAACATCAAAAGGAACGTTACCATGGTTACTAAGGCAGTATCACAGCTGCCTATAAGGACGACCTTGAAAAGTCTGAAGACCACAAAGCTGAATTTAATCTACCTCAGGTGCAATAGTGTCCGCTGCTCTCCTGGTTTTCTCCAAACTTCAGACAGACATGTAATATGACTGCATTTGTTTCAACTAGCAGGTAGCTTTGTGGTCAATGAAACTTCTCAAGGTAGCCCAAACGTGGTAGAGACCTAGTCTCCATGCTGTGCCAGCAAGCACCGAAGAGGCGGTGATGGTGTATACGTTCAGTTTTTCCTTGTTTCAATGAAAAGGCTTGATAAAATAGTCAACACCTCCTGGTTGGGTGAAGGATCCAAGAAGCCTGTTGATGCTTGCTGACACACGCTAACACAATATGCCTCTACAGGCAGAAAGGAATCACAAATCTATCAATTTCATTTCACATTTGAACTTTTTAATCTCCATGAAATTGATAAGATTTGTGACCTGGAAAATTTTTCAAAGTGCAATTTTAAATTGAAACCAAATAAATAACTTCAAACTTATACATATGGCCCAGCAGAAATAAAATTTATATGGTTCCTGCATGTTATTGTGACAGTCTGGTATAACAAACATACATGGTAGGTCTACTAAAACAATGGGCCATATTTGTGGACACGACGGTTTTCTTTTCACGTTAATTTCAAAGCTGTCACTGGTGTCCAACCTGAATGATGAAACAATAAAATCTTTCTTTAATCAACACTATCATTTCCCAACAGCATCAATCACAACTAAGTGTGCTCACAGAACGTTATTTTGGCAACCACCACTGTTGATTCAAGAAATATGAGACTGTTTCATACATCCATATTCTTAGGTAACACTTAAAAGTTTTTTTTTGGTAGTTTGTATTTTCTGTAACAATAAACAAAGTTACCCAACTCATCCCTGACTTCAGAAGAAACCATCATTGGGACGTGTTGTTTCCATCGACCGCTTCAATATGCTGAAGGTGAAAAATAAGGGGACCACTGTGTTCAATGTAGATGCTTCATATGAACGAAAGACAAATGTAAGATCTCATTCTTCTCCAACCTGCCATCTTCAAGATACCTACAGGATTTCATGAGCATTTCTACTACTTCTTTGTTCCCACATTCCTCACCATCAGTATCTATCTTCACACACAAATATCGGATACACTCAGCCATAGGCTGAAACATTTTGATTTTCGTAATCATACCAAGTGTGTACGATTCTTATCAGCCTGGGATAAATTGGGTATAATTCAGAATGCAAGTAATGTGGTTCTATGTAAGTGGAGATTAGTCAGTCATTAGTGTCATCAAAAGTCAAGCTTTCAAATCCTACAATATTCTTATTCTAATATTTTTCAGAATTTGAAAGGACTGACAAGTTGTTTCTGTGACGACCAATTGCTTTCAATAAAATACTTTGCAAGTTTGGCATCTTCGTAACAAGATTTTTCAATTACCCATGGTTATCTATCAAGCATAGAATGATATGACGAAATATCTCTCATCACATACAACCAGCATTACATCTTTTTTTATACTTAAGTTAAACATGTTCAGCTTCCATTTGTTCGGTCAACAGTCCCTGCAATGTCCTTGTCCATGTGGGCCAGCTTGACCACTAACTGCCCTGCAAATGGTCAACCATCCTGTGTACATGTGGAGAAACTACTAGCGGTGGTCAAGCGGACCTACATGGACAGTTCCAAAAAGAGCTGATGACCAAGATGTGGCAGCTGGACACAAGCCTCTCATCTGTACATACTCCACAGACCTCTTGTAACATCCCTGTAAGAACCTGAAAAATGACTATCTTGTACATTAGAAATCCACAATCATGGACAAACCGACAGGTCTTCACCTTCATGTCTACAATACAAACCAGATTTACATCTGAATCAGACTATGTTGGAAGGTTGTCACGTGGAACAAGAACACCATCTTTTTGCCACCATGTTGTAGTATACAGATGAGAGGTGGTTTTGTCCCCAGTGTTGAGAACGATTGGTTACCCTTGTTAGGAGTAGATTTTCAACCCTGGGACACAAGAGTCGTTGTCTCTTTGAAGAGTTTTGTGATTTCTTGTCTCTTAGCCATTTCATGATCACACCACTGTCAGAAGATAGCTGGTCAGCACTACATCTGTCCTGTTTTAGTCGAGTACTGGCCTGGCCTTGCTTACTCCTCACACAATTTGTACGGTCAGTGGCTGGTCACCCTGACTCGGCTGCTGGCCGCTCACCAGCATCAAGAGGTCTCTATCCTCACAATGTATTGCATGGACGACGATGACTTGTGGCCTCACAGCCATGACACACTGATTTCTACATCAACTGTACAGTGTCAATGAAGTTTAATGTTTTCCTGGGACTTCAGTTCGTCAACAGTCTCCATCACTCAGTCGTAACATATGCAATGAAAACATGCTGCTCGATGTCAATACTGGAATGAACATGATGAAGAAGAATCCATTCCCAGTGTACAGGCAGCACATGACGATTGAGCTGTCGCCTTCTCGCACAGATAGGTCCGTACAGAGCTGTGCACCCTACTCACGTCACACAATACACGATGATCAAGTGATATGTAGGTCATGAACCGACTTCCATGAAATATTTACACAATGGTACCTTGGCATATCTCAGCAGGAGGCAGCAGATTTGTTCAGAATGAAATGCACAGTGCACACTGCCCTAGGTACTGGCTCGAGAGTCCTATCTCATTTCACATTTGCTAGCCAGTACTTGAGACAACATTAGTGTGCATCATCACCGCCACAAATCCAGTTATTCCTGGGTCAGTCAGTCTGTGCTATGGAAGTCCCTCAACATGAGAATTTGTCTGTACAAAAATATATATTACAAACTCTCTAGAAGTGGAAAATTCATCAGAACTAAAGTCCAGCGAGGCAGGTGATCCATCTACATGGCAGAATTGTCAACACTTGTTCTATCAGGCTCACAGTCAAACACACCTCGTTAGTCAACAATTCCACCATACAAAAGCACAACTAAACCGCATTTCACATCAACTACATTCAGATCCCCTGCAGTCCTTACACTGCCAACAGAAGCCATAAGTTCTTACACAGCATACCATTGGATGCCATGGCTAGTTTTCAAATCTGCATTGCATTGCATTGCATTGCTTAAGTTACTTTGGCATTTCAATGAACAATGGTTAGTTCGGGGTTTAAAAGTCTTCAACGACAGAAGATCAAAATAGTTTTTACACAAGCCAAAACAAAGTCAGTGGACTTGTTACTAGTAACTGTGAAAAAGCAAGGCTGATTTTTCACCAGTTAACACATTGTGACCTGCATGTACATGTATTTTCAATCCCCTGGAATTTGTTTCCCCGTTGTGAATCTTGTAGGCTCACTGCAAAGCAATGGTAAAGACAGGCCACGTCCATGCATAAAGATTATTTTTCCATTCATCATATTGCATGTGTTTTTTAACAGCTCTTGTATAGTAAATGCTATGTGTGGTTGCAGGGCTCGATCTAAGGAACTGGAATTAACTTGCACCAGGTGCATGTTGACATGAAAACCTAGTTGCACCAGACAAAAACCAGATGGCACTGTTACCGTAAATTTATCAAAATTGAAACGTACACATAACCTTGAAGTACCCAGTTTGACGTCAAGCCCAATAAAGCATGACAAATAATACATAACACACGGATTATTGATGTAGTATGGCAAACAAAGCTTAGTGGTAGTGAATGTTTTCAAAGACCCTGCTGAGTAAGTGTTAGACACATATTTGAAAGATTTTGACATGCTCTTGGTGCATGTAGACTTAAGCATTAAGGTTTCAATTTTCACTAATATGTTGCACGGATGCATGTTTTATATAGCTAAATCGAGCCCTGGGTTGTCAATGCATATCCTATTCAGAGCTATTGTTATGTAATACGGTCAAGCAGTGTTTCTCCGGGCAAGCTAACAGTCCCCTCTCATGTGAAAAGTGTTGTTAGAAATATGTGGCCCATACATGCATTTACTTGAAAAGTGCAATAGCTTTTGTCTCAAGTTATTTTACCCACTGCACAACGACATGCAAGAGGCCTGTCTTTAGCATGCCACAGCTCCCTATGAGACAGGCAATCTGTATGGACCAGTTGGTGTGAAACAGATTTAATTCCCGACAAGGAATGAAGATTATGATTAAGGAGAGTGATGAAAGTTCTGATGATATTTCCATGGCTGCAAAGTATTTTATGTACAGTACTGCTTCAAATTGAGTCAATGTAATTCCAACAATGGAGAGCTGGGCAACAGGGACAATGCAAGACTGTATCTTGGACTCAGATTGTAGACAGTTTGCCTGTGGGAATCCAGGTGCAAATTAAACATAGCATTTGTCAGAAGGGTTCAACTTCTAACAAGTAAACTTGTCAATTTGAGTGTAGGATCGGTCAAGGATTCCAGTCTCACAAGTTTGGTATTCTCCAGAAAGCATTTAATTCACGGGTAGTCCTAGTCTTCTCATTGTTTTTTTCTCAAGTTTTTCTAACACAACCCAATCCTAAACCATCAGAAACAAATGAGCACCATTTGAACGCACGTCTTCAAATCTTAGTCCTGTCTTAACAAGCAGACAGCACTCAGCATGCACAGAAAGTAAAACTCAACAGCTCCAAACAAGAAACACTGTCCTCATACTTCCAGCAACTGCTTCGTCTTCAAGTCCTCCAAAGCGCAATCCTGACATCTTTCAAATTTGTAATCATGAGCTGAACATCAAAACTGGAAGTTGCACTCAGACAAGGCATCAGCCTTGTCGTTTACAGTAATAAATAATAAAATAAACAAAAACAAAGAGCACTCCAGCGCTGACAATGGCTTGATTTACCCACTGTTTGCCGGTAGGTCAGGCTTGGGTGTGGTACTGCTGCTGCTGCATCTTCCGCTGCATCTTCGTGTGATAGGTACAAGTCTATATACAGGGTTTGGCATTTGCTGTAGTCAACAGAGGGAGGAGGGATGGAGGGAGGGAAGTGGGGAGAGGGCGGGGCTGGACGGTGGCTGATTCAGTTGCCCCCGGCTGTTGCCCCTGTGCGTGGATCATCATCATCCTCTCTCTCCATTCCGTACTCAGCCACATACAATGAGGGGTCAATCTGTTTGGGGATTGGTTTGATTTCTGTGCCCAGTTCTTGCTCGATTTTGTGTAAAGCGAATCTGAAAGATAGATGTTATGACATGTGAATGAGGCAGCGTTCGAAATTAAGAATGGTATTTAGAGTCCTTGAGATGTTCTGCTAGTATCTGAATTCAGAGAACCTGTCAATCTTAATGATTATTTTCAGAGTTTGGTTGGTTGGTTTGTTGTTTAACGCCGCACTCAGCAATATTCCAGCTATGTGACGGCAGTCTGTAAATAATCGAGTCTGGACCAGACAATCCAGTGATTGATATCATGAGCATCGATCCACGCAATTGGGATCGTTGACATGCATCAACCAAGTCAGCGAGCCTGACCATCCGATCCCGTTAGTCGCCTTTTACGACAAGCATAGTCACCTTTTACGGCAAGCATGGGTTGCTGAAGACCTATTCTACGCTGGAATATTTTAGACACAACTAAGGCCAAGGAAGGGCTTCTATTATACAATGTGAATATTTCAACCATGGTCATTGGCCTAGAAGCTGTCATTCGATAGAAACCCATTCTGACTTAGGGCTGATAACTTTCAGTATTGTCATGAGTTAGTGAAAATAGAATGGGAATTTCCCAAAAGTGGTATTCCCCAATTGTAAGCCAATCAGAAGTTTCCGCTTGTTTGAACATCCTGCTGATATTGTAGTTTACACAGTTTGATATGTTCAGCCTTCTTGTGTCTCTACAACCCTCAAGTCTACTACCATATTTACCTGTCATCATAAGTAATCAGATTTATGGCAACGCCAAGGTGGCCGTATCTTCCTGATCGACCAATTCTGTGGAGGTATGTTTCTGCGTGCTTCGGGAAGTCAAAGTTGATTACAACATTGACAGCTTGAATGTCAATACCTCTCGTAAACAGATCTGAAAATAAACAAACCGGTGTGCAATATTCCAGTAACACCACTTTGAAGGCTGTGTCAGTGTGATGCAGGTTCACCACTTTCACAAAATCCACGGGCACTGGTATGATGCTGACAAACAAGGCACCATAATCCGTGAGTGAGTGAATGAGTACGGTTTTATGCCGCTTTTAGCAATATTCCAGCAATATCACGGTGGGGGACACCAGAAATGGGCTTCACACCATGTTGGGAATCGAACCCGGGTCTTCGGCGTAACTGGCGAACGCTTTAACCACTAGGCTACCCGACCGACCCCGCACCATTTTCAAGGTGAATCTGATATTCCAGGGGTTGATTTAACAACAAATTCGTATGTAGCCAGCAGGGCTTGCTCCTTTTAAATGTTACTGGCCCTTCTCCAAACTGGCTTGCAAATAAATGATGGAAGCCGCCTCACAGTCAAGTTACACAGGAGTTCTAAAGATTTTCAAACTCCTCGCACATCTTTTCATGCACACTTCAGGTTAAACCTTGGCTTCCATTTATCCCATTTCGTGACGATTTATGAGCAACTAAAGAAAGTTGTTGTACACAATACAAAATGGATACCGGTTGTGTCATTCTACCGAGATGATCGAGAGATATGTTTCTTAGTTAACCATTCACACAACCTCATCCCCCTAAATATTTCCTCATCGTCACAAAATTCAAGAGCTGTGTCCAATGAAATAAATGAAACGTACATAGAGAAGGGGTGAAATTTTGACTAGCCATCTAATTTACATTTCAGCAGGCCTTTTGTAATTGTATCAGGCCATGAGCCAACAGGCCAGCAGTAAAAAATCGACCCCTGTATTCCAACCCACAACCCAAGAAACAAGCAAGAAGCAGTTAAAATGCTCTTCTTTAGGAAATCCACACAAGACTTATGGAACTACAAGATGGACGTAGCAAGTACCTGAGCAGACGAGGTTGCGACAGAGCCCCTGCCTAAAGTCGTGGAACACACGGTTACGATGTTGCTGGTTCATCTTGGCATGGATGTAGTAGCAGGAGTAACCCAACTCTGTAATCTTCTTGGCCAACAGCTCCACACGGTTTGTCGAGTTACAGAAGATGATGGACTGGTTGATTTGGAGCTGAAGCAGGAAACCGTTACAAAATGATCAAACAAACATTCAAATGTTGAACAAGTTTCCAATGAAACGGCAGTGCTGTTTTAGCACTCTTTAAGCCCGATGCCAAGACTAGACTTCACACATTGTATCAATGTGGGGATTTCAAGAAGTGCCACAACACCTTTCACTACAAATACTAGTCTGTAGCCAAAGCTAGAAAACTTTGTAAACAGTAGCTTACAAGATCCAATAACACAATAACTTTTGCAGTTTCTAGATAACTGATTATATGTGACTACCCTAGGTCCAATTTACAAGTTTTACAACTTAACTCCATTTTCAGTGTTGGTAACATCAGCAGTTTGTCTCAGTAGCAGAACTGAAGTATTCATCATTAAATGGAGTTAACAGATGTGTGCTAGAAATGGCCTTTAAGAAACCTGAAGTGACTTAGTGGTGCTTACAACGTTTGTTTATTATCATATAATTCATAATATGACGTCTACATAACATTGCTCTACCCTTGGATGAGAGGCGTATGAACGACACATTTTCTTGTGCATTCATTTTTTTCATGATTATATTCTTGAAATGATGTAAACAGGGGATTATTTGACTACCCTAATGACGAGTATACAAGTTTTCATTGTACATGAACTTAACTCCATTTTCAGTGTTGGTAATATCAGCAGTTTGTCTCAGTAGCAGAACTGAAGTATTCATCATAAAATGGAGTTTGAATTCATTTAATCTAACATAAAGTAGCCACAAAAAATTATTTGATCATAAAATTTAGCAAGTCAAGACATTAATGAGACCAACAAACTTTCTGATGTTTCAAGAGTTTTTTGAAAAATATTTGTGTTTTAACTTTTTGTTATTACAATAAATAGTTAACAAAACCGAATAAAACATTCTCATATACTTCTGAACTAGCAGATCAGCAACACCTTTCCTTTGAGAATTCAGTGATTCTTGTTCACCAATGCCAACAAATAGCATGTAGTGCTATGTAATGATTTCAGTTTCAGAGTTCCCTCATGTTTTCAGGGATCTAACCAGGATTCCAAATCATATTTTTTCTCAAACTGGTCAGTTAACATTAAATACATGTCCCTATCTACAAAGCCATCACATTTTTACAGTATAACATGAAGTGGAAAATTGTAATTCCAATTTGGGAATTTTCACTGACATCTGCTGCCGACATGGTGTTTGTATCATTATATACAGAACGTTTCACCAGTTCCAACTGTATGTGAACTTTTGGACAGTTGCACCATCCATTAGACCAAGGAGGCGGTCATCTTTTATGGTCAAGTTATTTTGGCAACAACTACTTCTGCCAACTTCTACATGTTGTTGGAAATTTAGTTCTACTTTTGATTTATCATGACTGTATTGGGAAATGTAAGTCCTCACTCCATTTTCAGTGTTGTAATATCAGCAGTTTGTCTCAGTAGCAGAACTGAAGTATTCATCATTAAATGGAATGTGGCTTCCCTTCTATGAAACAAAAGCTACACTAAGGTTCTTGTGAAAAGCCTCTTCCCGCAAGCAGTGTTATTTTTTTGTTATTGATCTGTACAAGGCTAATCAATTCAAAAAGGGATAGACCAATAGTACCTAGGTCAGATTACTGTGACCAAGACAGACTTGTTGCTCCCACACCAATTCTATTTCTTATAGTCAAGAAAAGGCCTGCAGAATTGTAATAGCTGGATATGACCAATGGTGGGTTGTACAAAACTTTGTAAGATGAAAGTTCAGGTGTACCACTTGACTTGGAACATTTTACTATTTTACTATTTTAGGGGTATACACGTATACGTACACTTATAAAATCATGTATACACTATGACTGATAAATGCAGTGAACGGGATCGCGTGGTCAGGCTTGCTGACTTGGTTGATGCATGTCATCGATCCCAATAGAGTGGATCGATGCTCATGATATCAATCACTGGATTGTCTGGTCTAGACTCAATTATTTACAGACCGCCGTCATATAGCTGGAATACTGCTGAATGTGGCGTTAAACAACAATCCAACATTGACTTACAAAATTGGGGTCCAGGTGACCCGCCAAAATTAATTTTAAGGGTCACTGTAGGCAGTATGAGGTCTCCAGTAAAGTAACGAATCAGTGATCATGTGGACAGTGGTCATGATGGATGGATGGATGAAATGACAGACGCCCATAATTGCTCGATACACTGTAGCTACATTATGAATATTATTGTGCACCCCTTGGGATGCAGTAAATTAGTATTTTTGCGTCAATTTTCTACACTTGTGGGTACTGGACGCACATTTGTCTGTCACATAAAACCCTGGTGTCTTGTTTATGATAGAACTTTGTCACTAGTCCATAGCATTTCATACACATAAATAATTTCCCAATTCCATTTTCAGCCTTGGTAGTATCAGCACTGTCTGTCAGTAGCAGAACTGAAGTTGATCATCACCAAATGGAACTTCCCTTCATATAGTGAGTAGACAATGCATTCTCAGGATTAGGGACAATTTGGGGCACCCGCGTAACTGAATCAAGGAATCCCAAAAGCTTTAATTCTCAACACTATGAAAACAACCCCTTGACCTTTATGATTTAATTCAAACACTGCATTTTAGTATTAGGAGTATTAGGAGTATGAAAGTGAAGGTGTCCTTGTCACAGCCCTAATGGTAAAAGTCAAAGGCATCATGGATCAGCCTAGTCCATAGTTTGCATTCAATTGGGTAATTGCAGGTCAATATAGGTAATTTTATATCTTATACACATACAGGGAAAAACTGACCACCTCCAGTACAGTCAGTTTCAAAATTGTATGGGTCCTTACAGCCTGTCATAGATTTACATGTCTATTTATGTCACAATAAGCTGCAGTATTTAAAATATGGTCTTGAAGAGTTTAGTTTGGGTCAACAACTTCTAAAGTTTGAGGGTGCTGAAGGCAGCCCTGCAAAAAATTTTCTCTAACACTGCCGACATGAAATGTCTTTAGTGGAAGGTACATTCTGGTGGGCAGAGGCTACAGCAGCACATTAAACAGGGTCGTCAAGCTGCATTTTGACCTTCCGGCAGTAGAAATAAACAGTCTTAGTCCACCAGTCCTTATAATGATAACACAAAGCAAAACCCTTACAAATTGCAAATTTCTACCAGTCCTTATGATACCTTAACTATTGGGCAGTTTGGCAAGGACTACAGGACTAGCGCTAATTTCTAACGCTGCCTTCAAGTATGTACTCTTAGTATCAGTCAAATCAAGACATCGGCACCATATCAAGATCTGTTGTTGACAGTCACAGAATACAGTGTGTTCTTGTCTAGATCTCCATTTTCAGTGTTTGTAACATCAGCACATATTCTCAGTAGCAGAACTGAAGTTATTCATCATTAAATGGAGTTGGCATATCCAAAACCTTCTCTTAAAACTGCACACATTGACAACCCCAATGTCAAATTTGGCCAGTTTAACATTCTAAGAATCTCGTATATGGATTTGTAAATGAACTTACTTCTAACAATTGGTGCAGAAAATATTCACAATTCAAACATGTCAATAGAGCAACCACTGGCAACATATTTAAAGAATACAGAGGTTGACAGGTATTCAGTTGGGAGTTACACAAATAATCCAGTGAGTCACCATTTGGTGACTAGTGTGTAAGTATTGTCAAACTGAGAATTAAGTCCCATTAAGACTCATAGCAACTTGGAAATTTGAAGAGCACAATTTTTAAGTAAATTTCAGAAATAATTCCACTTCAAAAACCCAAATTGTGGTTAGTAAGAAAAAGAGTTTCTAAAGAGTACATCTGTGTCAATAAATCAACCTGAAATGGACAGAAACAATACCTAAAATGATATGGTTATCAACAATTACTCTACTGCTTGCTCCCAACATCACAAAAAGATTCAAAATGTAATCCAGTTGGAAGTTAAAATTCACTTAGAACCTATTCCCAAGGTTTCAAATGTCAAATTACTTGCTCTCGTAAGTACCATCTCCATTTTCAGGAAGTGTAAAGTCAGCATAATCTTCAGTAGCAGAACTGAAGGTACTCATCATCAAATGGAGACCGGCATCATGACATGTTTTACAAATTTTCAAGAAATGCTTCTCATCAGCAAGAGCTCAAAGTGATCTTTAGTCAGCCATATTCAACATGTTAAGTTATGATATTATGCAACAAGAATATCAGTACAGTGGAATCTGTTTAAACTGGATTCTGACTTATCCAGATCTTTCAATACCAGATCATTTGGTCTGGTATTGACAGATCCTATCAGTAAGAATTATTTACTGCAGACTTGAGCCTGAATTTTGGCCTCAGAGTAGGTCTAGGTAAATCCCTAGACTAAGCGTTTATTCTGTTTAATGCGGGCACACTCATAAATTATCCGATCCTTAAATCTAGTCATAAAGGGTACATTTGCAGGAAACGGTCATTATTAGGCACCAGATTGGGATCATAAACTTCATCAAATGATGGACTCGGCCTCTACTCCAGACCCAGGCTTCTATTTTTGACGGAGGCATGTCCTGTAAGCCGGGCATCTAACAGAGGAAATACAGTTGAAAGCTAAGAACACCTTTTTAAACAGTTTTTTCAAACTATCAAATATATTTACTTTCAGATATTTGATTAGGGATGGCATATAAAATATGCAAAAAGGTAGAATCTAAACTTAAAGTCATTCAAATGTGTGCCAACCGTGCTGGTTGTCATTCAGGGCATCTGATCCGAATCTGTTACCTCACACAAACATCTAGCCACACTGACCCAGAATCCACACCAGGCTTTCATGTGTAGTAACGTGTTGAACTTACCTTTGAAAATAATGTGTTGAGACAGTGAACCTTCTGTTTTTCTTGTACAAATGCATAATACTGTGTTACACCCTTCAGTGTCAGTTCGTCCATCAAGTTAATCTCATAGGGGGTTTTCAAGTGTTTCCTCTGCAATACAGACAAGCATTCTTTGATAACACATGCTCAACTCTGGGTATGTCGTAACCATTGTCCAAAGTTGGACTCCGTTTGTCGACATGTTGTATGTGTACAAAATCATTTTATTCCCAATTCTAAGTTTTGTTCGGTTGAAAGAAAGTTATGACATGTCTGCTAGTTGAATTTGGTTAATATCTATTAAGCGAAAAAAATAATAGTCTTGGTTCTCAGGCAGCAGAAAAAAAACAAAACCTCCCGCCCGCCCGCCCGCACTGTATTTTCAAAAGTCATTACCTGAGAACCAATTCTTTTTTTTAAAGCCTTATCAGTGTTCAACATTAAATTCCTGTGGCTTCTGAATGCCTTAATGATTCTGCAGCCACTGCACCTGAATGAATTACATATCATTTGTATGAATTAAGAAATTATATTTTAGTAATTTAGTTGCAAATTCACAAACTTCAGGAGAGTTGGCAGCTATGTAGTATGAATCATTACAATGCATGTATTATTTCAGGTGTAACACTAAGATTGCTAAGTCATACTGACCATAAACTGCTCCACAGTAAGAGGGAAGGTAGCCGAGTAGAGCAGGATTTGTCTGTCTGGTGGTAGATGGCTGATAATGTTGTCCAACATCCCCTTGAAGTCCTGAGACAACAGCTTGTCTGCCTGAAGTCACAGCATCAACACTGGCTCACACACTTCATAGCAACGATAACCAGTTACTTTAATAACTGGGCAATGAGAATAAATAGTCTTCAATTTTCCATTGAACAGCATTTCAGTCATGATGTGTTCGGTGAAAACCCATTGGTATGGTACTGGTGAGGTGAAATGGGGTTTAACGTCGCATCCAAGATTATTGCACTTATATAGCGACGTGCATGTACGTGTGTGTGTTTGTGTGGCTGCTTGTACTAGTCCGGACTGATGCCGATTTATAGTACTAGCTCACTGAGATACCATGCCGCAGTTTAACATGAATACTCCACACAGACACAGTATACTGACTCCGAGCAGACCAGTCCTTGTTTTAGCCCCTTAATGCCGAGCGCGAGACAGGGTAACAACAAGTACCATCTTTTAACGTCTTACAATGATAATTGATGAAAGTGATGCAGTGAGGCTGCAGTACAGCATAGATTACAATTTATACAGCAACTACAATCTGTAAATGACATTGGGCCACAAAAGAAACACGAAGATGACCATTAACTACCACACTTCAACATAGCGCATGACAGGGACGCGTATAAGATAGCTTGGTTGTACAGGGCCCAGTACGTCACTACAACACTGGCAGAAGAGCATAAATTCCACTTCTCCATTTTCAGATAATCCCAAAAGAACATCATGATAATCAGCAGGATTTAAAATCATGTTTCATCATTAAATGGAGAAAACAGAATTTTGGCCCCGTCATTTTTTTAAAACTCCTTTAAAAATTACCGTATTCGACGTTATAAGCGCCCGGCTCTAATAAGCGCCCACGGCGATATTTGCTAATATATTGGCTAGTAGTTAGCACCCCTTCCGATTAATCAATGTACACAACACTTATGTATTCGCGTATAATACGTACTAGTGTGTTATATGCACCCTTAATTATGGGCATTTAAATTCTGGAAAAATGTATCTCTCGTATATAAACATTTCAGGCTGTCAGCATAAACCACGAAATTTATCTTTCAACTCTGTTTTTTTCACCAAAATAATATTCTAATAAGAGCCCCCTATTTCTAATTTTGAGAGCGCCCTGGGCGCTAATTAAGTCGAATACGGTAAGCCACATTCTCAAGGGTCAATGTCTAGATAAATTAAGGGGGGTTGTGGGGATTCTTGAGGTATGCTGCAAAAGTATTTGATTCTAGGAACCCCCTAACTCTTAACATTAGGGTAATGGCAAGCACCCCTTGACTTTCATGCATAAGTTCAAACAAGTACCACAAACTGCTTCATTACTTCCCCACAATGGTCAACTGTTTAAGAACATTCAACATACCTCATCAAGAACTAATATGCCACATTTGCCCATCTTCACCAAATTCTTGTTCATGAGATCAAGGATACGCCCTGGGGTGGCGATAATAACATGCACTGAAAAACAAAGGTTACATTCAAACAAATGTTCAGGTTCCATCTGAAAGAGTGAAAATTCTGCCTTGACATTTCTAAAAATAAGGTACATTTTGTTGCATACTTTGAGACAAAGGAATTTTTTTTATTACAGTATGTTTGTTGTTTAACACCGCACTCAACAATATTACAGCTATATGACGGCGGTCTGTAAATAATCGAGTCTGAACCAGACAATCCAGTGATTGATATCATGAGCATCGATCAACGCAATTGGGATCCATGACATGCATCAACCAAGTCAGCGAGCCTGACCACCCGATCCCGTTAGTCACCTTTTACGACAAGCATGGATACCCCACTCACACTATACCGACTGAATATACCAGGCCTTGTCTTATCCCGCTTATGCTGAGCGCAAGACAAGGAAACAAAAAACAACAACAAAAAAAGTACCATATTTGAATGTCTTTTTGAATGATACTGCTGTGGATCGAACCACTAACCTTCCACTTACTGGGCAAAGGCACCATCCACTAAACCAAGGAGGCGGTCATCTTCTATGGTCAAGTTATTTTGGCAAAACTACTTCTGCCAACTTCTACATGTTGTTGGAAATTTACAGTTCTACTTTTGATTTATCATGAGACTGTATTTGGAAATGTAAGTCCTCACTCCATTTTCAGTGTTGGTAATATCAGCAGTTTGTCTCAGTAGCAGAACTGAAGTATTCATCATTAAATGGAGTTTTTTATTTATTTTCCAACACTGTCAACTAAACAAGCACTTTCTGAACACTGTGATCATCATATCTATCCTGCTCAACTCACCTGGATCATACAACCTCATGATGTCATCTTTGAGATTTGTTCCACCGGTTGTGACCATGACTTTACAGCCCAGATGCTTGCACAGTTCTATACATATCTGACTAGTCTGTAGTGCCAGCTCTCTCGTGGGTACTATTATCATCGCTGAAATACACAAATGTCTCAAATAAGGAGAGAAGTTGAGGTTAATTATGAATCTATGTCCAATATTTGTTTGAAATTCAAGAGGACAGATACCTGTATGACACATGAAAACACTTCTTACAATTAAACCTGAAACTATTTCACCAAACATCAAATAGTTTTCTTTTTTTGTGTCTGATTAGCCTTTGAAATTAACCCTAGGCCGTTAGCCCGAGACTACTGAATAGTGCATTTGAAGGTTATAATTCTGAACTATTTCTCAATGCTACAGTTTCGCTACAAAAGATAAACAGTGTTAGAAATTGGCACTAGCCCTTTTGTCCTTGCCAAACTGGCCAATAGTTAAGGTATCATACGGACTAGTAGAAATTTGCCATTTTTATAGGTTTTGCTACATGTTATCATCATCATAAGGACTAGTGGAGTAAAACTGTTAGTTTCTACTGCTGATAGAACTGAATAAAACTGAGAAGTAAATATTACTGACAAATATCTCCAAGTCGACAATCAGTCAATGTCCTACAATATGAATTTATTTGAAGCCCTCAATAATAAACCTAACAAAACATACATCAGCTTGAAAATAGAGAACTTCGGGATGAGAGATTCGTTTAATATGTTAACAGTGAACTGAACTAGTGAATTGAATGGGTGAAAGTCATTTCATGCCACAGTTAGCAACATTCCACCTTTATCATGACAGCCTGCAAACAACCGAGTTGGGACAGGCACATCTTCCCGAGGCAAGGGGGTTAACTGACAATAAAAGTCCAGTTTCCACCCTTGCCGAACTAGGCTGGATTTTCTGTGCTGAAACAGGTCTTACTTCGCGAATTGCATCAATTGTGAGCACTTTGATTAAAAATATGAAAAGATTTGGAAAATATCTGCTGACGCTGAGTTGGCGGTAGACATGCTTTGCAAACCCGGCAATGAACCAAAATCTGCACGGCAGTTTATGAACCGGATGCCAATTTTGTTACGCGATATTGATCGGACTATGTATGCATAGACTCATTAGTCCAGCAAAAAAAGAAAATTAACTCCATAATTCCAGCCTAGTTTGGCAAAGGTGGAAACTAGACTTTTACAGTCAGTAAACTCCCTTGCCTTGGGAAGATGGGACAGGCAAATCAGTGGTATGGTCAACATGGTATGGTCCACATCCCATGCCATCAGTGCTGATTACACTTTCAGCCATGTCTGAGCCTGACCATCCTATCTTCAATTCAGTCGTATCTGAAGTCTTACGGCAAGCAATGGGGACTTATTCTAACCCGGGTACCACATAGGGTACACCCAGTGTCTGAAATAAAATGAATTGTCAGGCTGCCATCAGGACTGACTGCAGGCCCTGACTAAACTCTTCAGGCCCTCATATTACTGTACGCCATAAAGACGAGAGCTGAGTATCGCCTGGTATTTTGCAATATGAGTCTCACGATAAGGACTGACGATACCACTGGTATCTTGATACACCACAACAAATAGAAAGAAATGTTGAAATCACTGAAAAACAACTGTAAAACCTCTTGTTTCATTCATATACTTTAAGAACAGAATCGTTTTAAATGAAGAGATGATTATTAAATGTAATAGTTAGTATGCGTGTCTTCTATCACCACATGTTCCGCCACGCTTACAAGTTGCGCTATGCAACTTCTGCAATTACGGAAGGTAACTATCAGTCCCTCTTCTGTTTCACATATTGCAATCTCACAAACTGACAATTCAAATATCTGTATATAAGTATTGATGACATCAAGGGTATCAGTGAGTCAATAATAATGAACCATAAAAATTTAAAACTACAGGTCCGACACGATATCTACCTGCCACGGACCTACGGGCAGGTGCTTATTTCAAACACTTGGTATACCAATTTCAGGGAAATAATTAATATTTGAGGTAGAGCTATCAACACTATATTTCGTAAGTTGCAAACACCCAATATATCAGAGACTTTACTTACATTGTACTTCATCTCGTGAAGAGTCGGTTCTTTCTATAATTGGAATTGCGTAGGCACCCGTTTTTCCAGTACCATTCTTGGCTCTTGCCAAAACATCACGCCCTGTTAGTGCAATAGGAATGCTAGCTTCTTGAATAGGAGAGGGTTTTTCCCAACCTTTCTCGAATATACCCATAAGAAGTTCGCGTTTCAGGCAGAAATCTTCAAATTCATTTCCTTTGGTATTAGTCACATCCTGAAATGACAAAAAAAAAGGTCTCAACATCTCCTTTCATCATGAACATATAGCACAAAGCTGAAAATGACGGTACAATCCTATGGCATGTATGTCACATTTTGTCCTTGTTATCTTAAGGTTGCATTTAGCTATATGACAGTGGCCTGTAAATAATCATGTCTGGTCCAGGCAAACCAGTGATTGATATCATGAGCAACACTCCACAATGTCAGGGGTGCCATGACACAAAAAGTCAGTGGTACAGTCTGACCACCGATCCATTCAGTCGCCTAATTGGTTGGTGGGACCAATTCCAAACTGGAATACCCACAATATGTACTTAGGGTGAGATACAATAAACGTGGGCCTATTTATCGATATACCACGTTACAAAACGCAAATCTTAAGTACAGTGTTCCCTCGCTAGTGCACCCTTCAATATTGTGCTAACTCGGTTATAGCGTATGGTAACACATGGCTCCCAAAACTTACATTTTTATTAAGCTCAACTTTTACACCGACACTATGTTTTTTCCCCATCTCAAAAAACACTATTACCTGATCACCGTGATAACACCGGAAATACCAGTCAACAAATCTGAACTGAAGTACGCAATTCACTTCCATTACTATACTATCTGGTTAGAAAAACGGGTTCATTGTATATCTGGACTTATGTTTGTAATATTATTTTTTTTCAGTTTCATTCAATATTGTTTACATTAATTTCAGCAAAATCGTGCGTGAAGTGGTCGGTAGGTCAAACACAACTCATCGTTATTTACAGCAACTACAGTCAGATTACTGATATTGACGCCTTGAAATGAACTTCAGTTGCCAGGGACTGGATACATATATCATAAATGCCATACTTTGACTCGTTAAAGTCATATCTGTGGCATTTTGACTATTATATGTCAACTTAACGTCTTCACAATCAAAATACAATGTAGAGGGGGGGAAGTCCCTACGGTAACTGGACAAATTGTTCCATACGTAAAAATATCCTGCAATAGCATTAACCTGTACCAATGTGCTACCCTTATGGTTATTATATTTTTAAAGTGAGTGAGCGAGTTGGGTTTATCGCCACTTTTAACAGTATTCCAGTTATATCACGGTGTGTCAGCATAATATGGGGGGAAGCCCGAAGTGATGCAGATCTTAGACGTTTACCACTTTCGATGAAACCCATGAGCACAGGTATGGTGCTGAAAAAACTAGAAACACAATCGGGGCGAACCGGGATTCGAACCCCCAATCATAGGTTTCTGATGTGCACATGAGACGCAACTCTGCACAAGGAATCGCACCGCCTTAGAAGACTGGGCCACCCGTGCCCCTCAAATATATAATATAGTAAAAGCTGCAACTAAAGTAACACCACGATATTGGAATATATTATTCCTGATAAAACAATAATTTCAGAAGCAATTTCATCCGACCATTGAAACAAAACTCAAGTTGTATCATTGGGTACTTTTTAATGGAATCACCAGTAGATTGGGAGAAAACGTGTGCACAGCTGATTACTATTTCCGGCTTAGTTTATGAGAAAATACACACGGTAATCTTAATCTCTGCATATAAAACAATACCCATGGGAGCAGGAAATACAGTTTTAACGGTAAGTCATAGGGTCTAGTGATGTTTCATATCAAATTTCATATTATTATTGACCAAGTTTGTTATGTATACGTGTTGTTCACCTGAATTCACTGAAGGGATACAAAGAGTTTTTCAAAGCGCATAACACTCGATAAATATTCTTTTTACACTATGAATCATAAACAACTACTTTTCTAGTCTTTTTTCAAACTTTGAAATGTACATCGTGGATCATGTTAGGTAGGCAGAGCATGTACTCTTGTGTACAGGCCAAAACATTGTCGGTACCCAGAGCGCCTCATTGTGTCCCCTAACAATGTTGACATTTTAATTTTTCTGAAAAAGAACCTGAAGTTGAACTATTCACTGTGAAGTACATTGACTTTTTTCTGCTGTTTTGAAACTTGAAGTGTTTTTTTAAGGAAAGTTATCACTTTGAAACTTCAGTAGTCTTGTAATTATAAATAATTTTGACTTCCAAAATCATGGAAGATCCAATCTTCACATGCTTCAAGTCTTGAAACTTAGTAAATGCTGGAGTACCGTAATCTGCATTTTTGCGTATCGTACGGTGACCTTCCTGTATCATTGCAGTCCTAATATGTACAATACAATCTTGTGTACTCACAGAGGTTCTGACTCTACAATCTTTTGGTGGCTTTTTAAGTTGGGCTTTCCAACCCTGGTCACTGAAAGTAAAGAGTGAATGAAAATGAACTGAGTTATACATCTTATATGATTCAAACATAAATAAATAACTGGCACTTGTAAATCTTCCAATCATGATGTTTAGCAGTTAACATTTGGATGAGTATCATCAACCATAGCAATATTTTCCCACTGCCAGTGCCAAGACTTAAAATATTCTTTACTAGACCATGGATTTTGACTAGTGGCTGATGTTATGTTGCTGATGTATCAGCGTCAACACACTTTTGGTTTCTAACAAATACATACATCGTAGTTTACATTTTCAGCTGTCAAAACAATTCACAAGCTCATTATCATGGCATTTTTATGTTAATAGGAATCAGAGAGGGAGATAGGTTAAAGGCCACACTTAATGCGAAAAGGGATGCTGGTCTCAAAGGATTACTACTTATGCAGTGTTTGAATTTATGAAGGGTCCTGCGGTCCTTGAGTTTTTCACTGATGCAAAAGACATAAGGGCTGGTTGAATTTCGAACATTTTGAGGCTGTTTCTATGCCATCACTATTTGGGCTAGTCAACTTTCTAGGCTTACTTCTATTCCTGTCAAACCAGACCCCCTAGTATGTTGCTGACAAACCAAAAATCACATTCATAAGCAGGGCGAATCAGGGGATGAAGCAATGATCAAAGGATTCTGGCATTCACAAGCAGGATTAGATTTAACAACAAACTTGTATGCAGCCAGCAGGGCTTGCTCCTTTCAAAAGTTATTGGCCCTTCTCCAAACTAACTGACCTACAACTAAATTATTCTACCCAGTAGGGGTCTGAAACTTTTGGAATTCAACCCTAAAAAGTCTTACCATGCACTGTTCAGAAAAGGCCGACCACGAGTGTTGTGGAAAATGGCATAGGTTACTCCCCTCTACTGACTGTAAGAAGTAGTAGTTGGTTTGTTTGTTTATTGTTTAACACCGCACTCAGCAATATTCCAGCTATATGACGGCGGTCTGTAAATAATCCAAGTCTGGACCAGACAATCAAGTGATTAATATCATGAGCATCGATCAACGCAATTGGGATACGACATGCATCAACCATGTCAGCTAGCCTGGCCATCTGATCCCGTTAGTTGCCTCTTACGACAAGCATGGGTTGCTGAAGCCTTATTCCCACGGATCTTCACGGGTCAAGACGTAGTAGCCCTTCGGCTGTCATAACACTGTCTCCCCGAATAGGGGTTGGATAGAGATAAGATAATCCACACAGACTTCTTGCATCCCATTTTTTCCTAAATAGTCATTATGGAACACAACAGATGCATGTATTATCAATATACATTAACTTGATTAGGAGAAATACAAGCCGCAAGTTAGCTCTGGACTTAAGATTTGGGAACAGACTTCTGGTAACATGAATTATCAGATCCATCACAGGTTAATCTTAAAGTTCAGCTGTTGCATTCTGTCGACACTGCCAGCAAAATATATTGCTTTGATATGAATGAAATGAAATGAATATTACCGAGGACCAACAACTTACTTTGCCGCGGCAGAAGCCTTGATGTCGGCAGCATTAGCATGACTAGTATGGTTGTTTGTATTTTGTAGCTCCACCTGTGGGGAAGCCATCTTGTCAAATACGTCAACACTGGAGTAAGGTCCAATAATCTCCCAAATTTCGTATCAGCGCAGGATCAAGTATCACAACAGCATAGAGACACCTGAAATGAGAGAGGAACTTCTTAAGGTGAATAACATTGGTGAGGTTGCTCCCTCTGCCCCTGAAAATATATATTGAACCTCGATACCGGCTTTGTCTGTTGCAATATTCCAGCTATGTGACTGTGGGCTGGAAAAAATCGACTAGGCTATTCATATTGGTGTTTGGACAGTATCCATGTCACAATTTGACGTATGAGATTGTTTTTCAATTTCATACAGTACTCGGCAACTGACAGAACAGATATTTGATCCAATGTCACCGATATGTAATAGCAAGTTCCAGATTTATGAGACGCTTATACTCATTACCAAGTTCATTTTGATGTGGCATCTTTCCAGCGTTGCTCCCAACAATTCGAAACATATTGTTATCCGACATACACGGCGTCGGTTGTGCCTCAACTGACATTATGTTCCATGCATAATAATGTCGAAATTATGGAAACCATGTGAAAGAGACTAACATATCAAATATATTTCCATCCCGGAGTAAAGCCGTTTAACATGAACAAAATATTTCTATAAACAAACGGGAAATGACACAATAACCGGTTTTCAATTTCACGCTGTAAACAAATCTAGAATTTTACTGTACCAGGTAGGCGTTAAAATGTTGCAGCTATCGGATACAGGGGGCAGTTAGAGCTAAAATCGAAATCGAAACATGAAGGTCAATTACTTTACTTCCTTTCCAAATTGTCACTTGGCTTGTTCTAACCTTAAAACATCGAGGATGACTTGGATTCGCTAGGTTGACTTACCAATATCGGTATCTAATATGGCCGTCATATATCAGTAGGGGGCGCTGTCACGGACAATTCAAATACAAAATAACTTGTAAAAGAAAATTCATGAACATATAGGAAAGGGAAGAAGCTATTAAAAAAATGTTTTGAATACATTTACACAGGAATAACGATATATAATGGAAAAAAATAACGATCGATATCTGGCCTTGACCTTTGAGTTTGACATTGCAAACTGACTGCTGCTGCCGCGACGCCAGCTGATACAAAAGCATTGACAGTGGAAACTTGGACATTGCGTGTTTTCTCAAAGCTGTCCAAAATTGACTGACTGTGAAGTATGTATATAGCTGATACGGTAGAAGTCAATGTCATTTTGTCATTTTCTCACGCGTCCCCATGTTCGATGCATTAACGATGTTACGATCTATCCAAATCTGCAAATAGGACTAAAGTGCAAATAAACCTTATTTACGAGCCTCTTGTTTTGTATATGATATTTGCATTAACGATGTTACGATCTATCCAAATCTGCAAATAGGACTAAAGTGCAAATAAACCTTATTTACGAGCCTCTTGTAATATTTTGTATATGATATTTGCATTAACGATGTTACGATCTATCCAAATCTGCAAATAGGACTAAAGTGCAAATAAACCTTATTTACGAGCCTCTTGTAATATTTTGTATATGATATTTGCATTAACGATGTTACGATCTATCCAAATCTGCAAATAGGACTAAAGTGCAAATAAACCTTATTTACGAGCCTCTTTTAATGTTTTGCTTACGATATTTGCATTAATGATGTTACGATCTATCCAAATCTGCATGAGACCCATGAGACTTGCACATTGAGGATTGAAAGAGAAAACTATTTAAAACTCATAAAATTTGGACTGAAATGCAGTGATTTCGAAAAGTGAAATATATTTGTCTGCTTGTTTGCAATCAGAATTTGGTCTATGGGGGATGAATGAATGACCAAATATGGCATCCAACCATCGCACAAGTACAACAGAAATCGAGCAGCGATCCACTGAAGCATTTCTGAGAGGGAAGGTGAAAGAGGTAAGAAATAAGGCGATGCTCAATAGGGCTGGGGCGATACACCGACTGTGTGATCCGATACTTATCACGATACCTTGCTAACGATCCGATGTGTATCACGATAGTTGCATGTGCACTTTTCTGTGGTGCGTAAGCCATATTTTTCATAGACAGGATGGCCAAATACCTAGCCCACTGATGATTTACAGTTGGCAGTGTCAAGTATGCAGTGGATGAAAATATTTATGTTTTCACCACTCATTTTCACTAGTAATTAGTGTTTGGTGTAACATTTATTGAAGAATATATTTAAGGTAGGAATGGATACTGTTTACTTTATGTGTGATTGTGATCGATACTTATTTTGAGAAGTAAAAAATCTCGATGCATTGGTGTATCCTCCCACTACTAATGCTCAGTCTCGGGCTCAAAGTAGGTCAACTTAAAGCACAAGGGTCGGTCTGATGATTAAAGCGTTCGCTCGTCACGCCAAAGACCCAGGTTCGATTCCCCACATGGGTACAATGTGTGCCATTTCTGGTATCCCCCGCCTTGATATTGCGGCAATATTGCTAAAAGCAGCTTAAAACGATACTCGCTCACTATTTATAAGACAAGACCCTGAAGATCTGGGGTAGAATAGGTCTTCAGCAACCCATGCTTGCCGTAAAAAGCGACTGTGCTTGTTGTAAGTGGCGACTAACGGGATCGGGTGGTCAGGCTCGCTGACTTGGTTGAAGCATGTTTATACCTCAACATGAGACCTGTGAAGATCAGGGTTAGAATAGTTCTTCAACAACCCATGCATGTCGTAAGAGGCGACTATGCTTGTCGTAAGAACACTGGTCAGGCTTCAGTGACTTGCTTGATGCATGTCATCGTATCCCAATTGGGTGGATCAATGCTCATGATGTCAATCAATGGATTGTCGGGGCTTGACTTGATTATTTACAGACCGCCATCATAAAGCTTGATCCCAATAATTCATTTCACGGATTCCTCCAGGAACCATGGGGTTCCTGTAAAGGCATGAAATAATGTAGTGATGTACTGTAAGATTTCATATATTCCTTGTCAAGAATTTGGTACAGTAAATATGGTTTACCTTACCTGATGCTACACCTATAGCACTGTGTAGTGTCAGGTACGTATAAAAAAATTGCATTTAACCAGAAATGATCATTATTGTGCATCCCTTGAAAGGCAATATATTTTTTTTCTGCGTCCATTCTATATGTTGTGTACTGGGTGCACATTTGCGTGTCATGTTAACCTTGTGATATGTAAAACTTCAGTCTTTATTGGCCGCTTATAAAGATTACCTACCTATATATATATATATGTGAATACTGCAATTCATTCTAAGGAGGGGGTGGCCCAGTCGTCTAAGGCGCCACGATTCGCTGTACAGAGTTGCGTCCCTTGGGCACGCCAGAAACCTATGATTGTGGGTTCGAATCCCGGTTCGCCCCGATTATGTTTCTAGGTTTGTCAGCACCATACCCGTGCCCGTGGGTTTCACCGAAGTGGTAAACGTCTGAGACCTGCGTCACTTCGGTCTTTCCTCCCACATTAAGCTGACACGCCGTGATATAACTGGAATACTGTTAAAAGCGGCGTTAAACCCAACTCACTCACTCATTCTAAGGGAGGTAACTGTGGTGTTTGTGTTTCAGCTGGAGGATGAGGTGGCTCGCCTCAAGAAGAGACTCGATGACCTTCGGAGGGCCAAAAACACCACCGTGCATAAGAGGGAACGTGAGGTCATACATGTTGGCGCTCCCTTTGGCAGACGGTATGATGGTAGCTTCCCAGCAGTGGAAGTTAATTGTTAATCTCTTTAATAAATATGAATTTAGACTTTTAGCTCCTCAAAGGGGTTTATCTAGACGTGTTCAGAGGCCAATTGTTCGTCCCCGAGTCTGCTGCAAATGATAGTAAAAATTACCAATTTGTATAAAATAATTCCTAATTCTTTATATAAAAATGTTATATTTGGGATAACACTTTCTTAGTACAGTACAGATTCTCGTACTTTTTGGGGGGGTTGAGTCCCGTCTGGGATTCGAACCCACACTTGCCAGAGTGAGGCACCTAATCGCCAGCACACAAAGTCAGCGATCTAACCCACTCAGCCACTGAGGCTTCCACAAAAATGAAAGTCCGACAACTGGTAGTCTAGATCACGTACCTTGAGTACCCCTCTGACTAGTGTAAATTGGCACGGCTCCCATTCATAATTCATAATTCTTTATAATTTACGATAATAAGATTTTGTCCTGGTTTGCTTGTCAAGGGCACTTAGTTTGGAATCTGATATAAATCCCCACACCAGGACCAAAAGTTGAAGAGATTTTATGTCTGTTTGTCTGTTAATTTTCAACTTTTTCCTGTAACCTGTCGAAAAGGCTACATGTCAAGAAAGTGTCCAGCACCATGGTAGAACTCTGATGGGTTGTTAGCATTAGATTTGGTTGGTTGGTTGGTTGGTTGGTTGTTTAACGCCGCACTCAGCAATATTCCAGCTATATGACGGCGTCTGTAAATCATCGAGTCTGGACCAGACAATTCAGTGACTGACATCATGAGCATCGCTCCACGTAATTGGGATACAATGACATGCATCAACCAAGTCAACAAGCCTGAGCACCTGATCCCGTTAGTCGCCCCTTACCAAGAGTCGCCTAAAGGCAAGCATGGGTTGCTGAAGACCTATTCTACCCCGGATCTTCTGTGTATTTACTATGTATATTTGGCATCTGAACTATATGAATAACAACCTCCTAATGTCCCTAATGGCAGGGAATAGTGATGACGCTGTTCCTTGTTTTTAATGTATCAGAGAGAGAAAGTCTGAGATGAAGAAAGATGGCGTTGATAATCCAGCCAAAGACATGGAAGAGTTGAGGAAACACTTTGCTGCAGAACTGGAAATAGTGAAGACACAATACGCACAGGTTTGTAAACAAAGACTAAAAATCGATTGACAAGTCTCAAGGAAGTTCAAACTACTGGGCAATGGGGTACAGTAAATGGTGAATTCTCAGGAAATGTTACATTCTGAAATGATCCCAATGTCCGCGTATAGTCTGGAAGGTAACTTAAGGTACTGACGTTTACTACAATATCTGAAAAACTATTGGACCTACTCCAGTCAAAGTTGGTATGAGATTATTAAACAGTCCTACATAACTGGATATTACGTTTTAAGACAATCGGTGCATGAATAAAAAATCTGTCTATTTAGCTATCACTATATTTCATCAATAACCAGACCTGTTCGTCACGGGTGGAACGAGCATTCATTGAAACAGCCATCTGCATAATGCTACCCCTGCGTCACAGGGCCATATGACACAGTTGAACCAATCAATTCAACTTGCAAGGGTGCACGGGAATCACGCACGTTGAGACGCCCAACGCTAACACCGTATTCATGCGTGGGTGATTCCCGTGCACCCTTTCGAGTTGAGTAATATTTGACCGAGCAGTGTTTTTAGCTCACCTTAGTAAATCAGGTGAGCTGCTGAACCCTGTGAATTGCCCGACAAAATTAGTAATGAGTATATGAATAAAGATTATTAGCCTGTATATTCCTAATATGTGATATTTGCGATATGGAAATTATTAAACTATTTTTCATTCCTAAAAGTACAATATGTTTTTGCATTTATGGAGGAAACGCTAAGTGTGTTCACAAAAAATTGTGTTTATACCTCTATTAAGGCAAAAGTATATTTAAGTCAATTCTCACAAATACATATATCAATCTTTTAAAAAAGAATTGCTTGTTTAACCAATGAACAACTATGAAAGTCCAGTTTTCATCCTTGCTGAACTAGGCTGGAATTATGGAGTTATGTTTTGGCTGGACTAACAAGATTTAGGTTGGACTAACGAGTCTATGCATAATCCAGTCAAAATCGCGTAACGAAATCAACAACCGGTTCGTAAACTGCTGTGCATATTTCGGTTGATTGCAGGATTTGCAGAGCATGTATACAATCAACTAAGTGTCAACATATATTTTCCAAATCTTTTCATATTTTTAATCAAGGTGCTGACGTGATTTTATGCACTTCACGTTTTATTACAAAAGAGATCTTGATTACTGATCAGATCATCTTCACTGGGCGACACCATTTTGATTGAAGCAAATGCAAGTGATATGAGAGGTGGAATTGCATTAGTCATAACTATAATAACACAAACTGGGAAAGCTTTAGTTCCAGTTTGGGAACTGCCATTTGCTGCAGACTTGGGGGCCAATATCAGCTTCTGAGCAGGTCTAGATGAATCCCTGGTAGCGGCATTGAACATTGAACACTCACTCACTCACTCACTCACTCACTCACTCACTCACTCACTCACTCACTCACTCACTCACTCACTCACTCACTCACTCACTCACTCACTCACCCCACCCCACCCCACCATGGCCCACCCCACCCCACTCACTCACTCACTCACTCACTCACTCACTCACCCACCCACTCACCCACTCACTCTTACTCACTCACTCACTCAGCCTGACCCTGAATTTCAGGACTCCAAGTGTGACCATGAGGCTGAGCTGGCCCGTCTGAGGGTGGAGCTGAGTGACGCTGAGGGTGAGAATGCTGCACTGAGGGTGGAGAGCCAGCAGCTGAGGGAGAGGGTGGACACCCTGGCTACCGACCTCAGCATCAAGGAGGCGGGCTGGTGCGAGAAGGAGGAGAAGCTCAAGATCGAGGCAAGTTTTACCTGGGTGAAGATGGAGGTAGAGATTTACCTGGGTGAAGATGGAGGTAGGGATTTACCTGGGTGAAGATTGAGGAAGGGATTTTCCTGGGTGAAGATGGAGGTAGGGATTTACCTGGGTCAAGATGGAGGTAGGGATTTACCTGGGTCGAGATGGAGGTAGAGATTTACCTGGGTCAAGATGGAGGTAGGGATTTACCTGGGTCAAGATGGAGGTAGAGATTTACCCGGGTGTAGATGGAGGTACAGATTTACCTGGGTCAAGATGGAGGTAGAGATTTACCTGGGTCGAGATGGAGGTAGAGATTTACCTGGGTCAAGATGGAGGTAGAGATTTACCTGGGTCAAGATGGAGGTAGAGATTTACCCGGGTGAAGATGGAGGTAGAGATTTACCTGGGTCAAGATGGAGGTAGAGATTTACCTGGGTCAAGATGGAGGTAGGGATTTACCTGGGTCAAGATGGAGGTACAGATTTACCTGGGTCAAGATGGAGGTAGAGATTTACCTGGGTCAAGATGGAGGTAGAGATTTACCTGGGTCAAGATGGAGGTAGAGATTTACCTGGGTCAAGATGGTAGTAGAGATTTACCTGGGTGAAGATGGAGGTAGGGATTTACCTGGGTCAAAATGGAGGTAGGGATTTACCTGGGTCAAGATGGAGGTAGAGATTTACCTGGGTCAAGATGGAGGTAGAGATTTACCTGGGTCAAGATGGAGGTAGAGATTTACCTGGGTGAAGATGGAGGTAGAGATTTACCTGGGTCAAGATGGAGGTAGAGATTTACCTGGGTCAAGATGGAGGTAGAGATTTACCTGGGTCAAGATGGAGGTAGAGATTTACCTTGGTCAAGATGGAGGTAGAGATTTACCTGGGTCAAGATGGAGGTAGGGATTTACCTGGGTCAAGATGGAGGTAGAGATTTACCTGGGTCAAGATGGAGGTAGAGATTTACCTGGGTCAAGATGGAGGTAGGGATTTACCTGGGTCAAGATGGAGGTAGAGATTTACCTGGGTCAAGATAGAAGTTGGGTGAAGACTTATGTTGCACCCCTTCTTTCTGTTTGTCAGTGGAAGATGTCCATGGGATGTTATGAAACATATACACCTATGTTACAGCTGCAGCGATCCTGGGGTGAGAAGTATCGACAGTGGATGGAGTCGACGGAGTCAAAGATAGCAGAGCTTCAGCAGACCAATGCCTTACTGTGAGTGTGGGTCCCATGTCAAAGTTCCGCCTTGGTTGGGACTCCAGATTCTCCCTTATTTGTTATTCAATGCCATACCTCCATTTACCATGGGTTTGTCAAAATGGAAAACATCTAAGGTCTGCATCAGTTCAGGCTCTCCCCACACAACAAACTGACACGCTGTGATATAACTGTAATACTGTTCCATGTGGTTATGAAGTGTATTATAACAACCCTGGTCATCCGTGGGTACCTGTGGCAGAATGGGGGGGGGGGGGGGGGGGGGGGGGGGGGCACGGGTGGCCCAGTCGTCTAAGGCGCCCCAATTCGCTGTGCAGAGTTGCGTCCCCTGGGCACGCCAGAAACCTATGATTGTGGGTTCGAATCCCGGTTCGCCCCGATTATGTTTCTAGGTTTTTCAGCACCATACCCGTGCTCGTGGGTTTCACCAAAGTGGTAAACGTCTGAGACCTGCATCTCTTCGGGCTTTCCTCCCACATTAAGCTGACACGCCGCGATATAACTGGAATACTGTTAAAAGCGGCGTTAAACACAACTCACTCACTCACTGTGGCAGATTGGGAGCCATGTACCCTATTGTTATCGTTAGAGGCAGCCAAATTGGGACCTCATGGAGAATCTGGGTTAGAATGGGTCCCAAACAACCGATGCTGGTATTGAGACACGACTTGATGGATTGGGCGGCAAGACGCAGTGACTTGGTTGATCGCTTGTCATCGTACCCTGACGACATGGATCGATGTTCATGATGTCTATCACTTGATTGTCAAGTCCAGATTTAATTATTCACAGGCTGTCATCATATTGCTGAGTGCAGCGTTAAACAAGCTCATAATGTCAATCACTGGATTGTCTGGTCCAGACATGATTATTTACAGACCACCGTCATATAGCTGGAATACTGCTGAGTGAGGCGTAAAACAACAAACAAACAAATAAATTGTTATCAAACACAATATTACCCATGGAGACAGGTATATTGTCAATTTTGGGGTGGTATTTTCTTGCTGATTGGCTGGGTCATTCCGATTGTTCCATTGTTTGTAAAGACACCCGTAGCATGGCATGGTACCTCAATGGGCTAGCACTATCAAACCAGTATTAGTCCGGACTAGTACAAGCAGCCACACACACAAACTCATGATTGTGCATGCAAGGCGCTATACAAGTGCAATAATCTTGAAGTTGAGTGTAGAATCTTGAAGTTGAGTGTAGAATCTTGAAGTTGAGTGTAGAATCTTGAAGTTGAGTGTAGAATCTTAAAGTTGAGTGCAGAATCTTGAAGTTGAGTGTAGAATCTTGAAGTTGAGTGTAGAATCTTGAAGTTGAGTGTAGAATCTTAAAGTTGAGTGCAGAATCTTGAAGTTGAGTGTAGAATCTTGAAATTGAGTGTAGAATCTTGAAGTTGAGTGCAGAATCTTGAAGTTGAGTGTAGAATCTTGAAGTTGATGTTTCTGTCCTCAGACGTGGATATTTGAAGAAACAGAAGCCAGGTGAATCTGACCCCTCAGGACAAGATCAAGAATAATATTAGGTTGCCATGGATACAGATGAATGAACGTTTTTCTTCATGACTGAGTGATTCCAAGAAAACTTATTTTTTTATTATTGTTACCAGAAAAACTCTGCAACAGAACTGTGATATTTTGATTTGAGCCAAAACCCAGAGGAGATAGCAATTCATGATCTATTTTGATATTTTTATGCCCCCGATTGTCGGCAGTCTCGATCCAGTGATGGAAGATGATATGTCAATCGATCACTTGCCCATATATTTGTCTGCGAGATCTCCTGCTGATCTAACTGTTCTAACAAACTATCCTTACAAAAATGGCCTCCATTGTATGGCAGACATGGGAAGAGACAAGAGACATTGCAAACGATGTATCAAAATATCAGTGTTTGCCATTGTTTGTCCTACATTTGTCCTATGTAGATGTTGATGACCAAGGATTAGAGTTACTTCCCTTTGGTTTGAATTGCAACAGGGAGAAAAATGGCTGACTTTGACATTGTTGGCAATATCTCATTCCTATTACATTGATTAATATAATTATGAAGCCTTAAAGTTGGTTTAATACTATCACGATACTATTGCAATAGTTGACAACTATCGCAATAGTATTACAATAGTGTCAAGTACTATTGCATTACAATCGCAATAGTGAAAGGAGCCCAGATAGTCGCTTCTAATCTAACCCTGACTTTTCCACACAACATTGATCTCAGAACACACTCACTACCTCTAAGCTTAATGTACCATACTACATCACCAATCCTTGTGGTATGTGTAATTTGTCATGCTTTCTTGGGATTAATGTCGATAAACTGTGGGTACTTCTAGATGATGTGGGGGTGGTCGGGTAGCCTAATTGTTAAAGTGTTAGCTCGTCACGCTGAAGACCCAGGTTCAATTCCCGACATGGGTACAATGTGTGAAGCCCATTTCTGGTGAATTTGGAATTATATCACGGAAGATTAGCCACCGGTCCCACATTCCACACTGCTCTGTCCCAAATACCCTCTCAAAAGCCCCGTCCCACACTCCACACTGCTCTGTCCCAAATACCCTCTCAATAGCCCCCGGTCCCACATACCACACAGCTCTGTCCCAAATACCCTCTCAATAGCCCCCGGTTCCACATTCCACACTGCTCTGTCCCAAATACCCTCTCAATAGCCCCCGGTCCCACATACCACACTGCTCCATCCCAAATACCCTCTCAATAGCCCCCGGTCCCACATTCCACACTGCTCCGTCCCAAATACCCTCTCAATAGCCCCCGGTCCCACATTCCACACTGCTCCATCCCAAATACCCTCTCAATAGCCCCCGGTCCCACATTCCACACTGCTCCATCCCAAATACCCTCTGTCCCAAATACCCTCTCAATAGCCCCTGGTCCCACATACCACACTGCTCTGTCCCAAATACCCTCTCAATATACCCCGGTCCCACATACCCTCTCAATAGCCCCCGGTCCCACATACCACACTGCTCTGCCCCAAATACCCTCTCAATAGCCCCCGGTCCCACATACCACACTGCTCTGTCCCAAATACCCTCTCAATATACCCCGGTCCCTCATACCCTCTCAATAGCCCCCGGTCCCACATACCACACTGCTCTGCCCCAAATACCCTCTCAATAGCCCCGTCCCACATAACACACTGCTCTGTCCCAAATACCCTCTCAATAGCCCCCAGTCCCACATTCCACACTGCTCTGTCCCAAATACCCTCTCAATAGCCCCCGGTCCCACATTCCACACGGCTCTGTCCCAAATACCCTCTCAATAGCCCCCGGTCCCACATTCCACACGGCTCTGTCCCAAATACCCTCTCAATAGCCCCCGGTCCCACATACCACACTGCTCCGCCCCAAATACCTTCTCAATAGCCCCGTCCCACATACCACACTGCTCTGTCCCAAATTCCCTCTCAATAGCCCCCGGTCCCACATTCCACACGGCTCTGTCCCAAATACCCTCTCAATAGCCCCTGGTCCCACATACCACACTGCTCTGTCCCAAATACCCTCTCAATATACCCCGGTCCCACATACCCTCTCAATAGTCCCCGGTCCCACATACCACACTGCTCTGCCCCAAATACCCTCTCAATAGCCCCCAGTCCCACATTCCACACTGCTCTGTCCCAAATACCCTCTCAATATACCCCGGTCCCACATACCCTCTCAATAGCCCCCGGTCCCACATACCACACTGCTCTGTCCCAAATACCCTCTCAATAGCCCCGTCCCACATACCACACTGCTCTGTCCCAAATACCCTCTCAATAGCCCCCGGTCCCACATTCCACACTGCTCTGTCCCAAATACCCTCTCAATAGCCCCTGGTCCCACACTGCTCTGTCCCAAATACCCTCTCAATAGCCCCCGGTCCCACATACCACACTGCTCTGTCCCAAATACCCTCTCAATAGCCCCCGGTCCCACATACCCTCTCAATAGCCCCCGGTCCCACATACCACACTGCTCTGCCCCAAATACCCTCTCAATAGCCCCCGGTCCCACATACCACACTGCTCTGTCCCAAATACCCTCTCAATATACCCCGGTCCCTCATACCCTCTCAATAGCCCCCGGTCCCACATACCACACTGCTCTGCCCCAAATACCCTCTCAATAGCCCCGTCCCACATACCACACTGCTCTGTCCCAAATACCCTCTCAATAGCCCCCAGTCCCACATTCCACACGGCTCTGTCCCAAATACCCTCTCAATAGCCCCCGGTCCCACAGTCCACACGGCTCTGTCCCAAATACCCTCTCAATAGCCCCCAGTCCCACATACCACACTGCTCTGTCCCAAATACCCTCTCAATAGCCCCGTCCCACATACCACACTGCTCTGTCCCAAATACCCTCTCAATAGCCCCCGGTCCCACATTCCACACGGCTCTGTCCAAAATACCCTCTGTCCCAAATACCCTCTCAATAGCCCCTGGTCCCACATACCACACTGCTCTGTCCCAAATACCCTCTCAATATACCCCGGTCCCACATACCCTCTCAATAGCCCCCGGTCCCACATACCACACTGCTCTGCCCCAAATACCCTCTCAATAGCCCCCGGTCCCACATACCACACTGCTCTGTCCCAAATACCCTCTCAATAGCCCCCAGTCCCACATTCCACACTGCTCTGTCCCAAATACCCTCTCAATATACCCCGGTCCCACATACCCTCTCAATAGCCCCCGGTCCCACATACCACACTGCTCTGTCCCAAATACCCTCTCAATAGCCCCGTCCCACATACCACACTGCTCTGTCCCAAATACCCTCTCAATAGCCCCCGGTCCCACATTCCACACTGCTCTGTCCCAAATACCCTCTCAATAGCCCCTGGTCCCACACTGCTCTGTCCCAAATACCCTCTCAATAGCCCCCGGTCCCACATACCACACTGCTCTGTCCCAAATACCCTCTCAATAGCCCCCGGTCCCACATACCACACTGCTCTGTCCCAAATACCCTCTCAATAGCCCCCGGTCCCACATACCACACTGCTCTGTCCCAAATACCCTCTGTCCCAAATCCCTTTCAATAGACCCCGGTCCCACATACCACACTGCTCTGTCCCAAATATCCTATGTCCCAAATACCCTGGTCCGCCTACCAAAAGGGGGTTGGCAACCTTCGGCATTAGGTCGCCAGGTTGTGTTGTCATGTGACAGTATTATAATTATTAGAAATACATTATTCATTAGGAAGTTATTATTTATTAGTTATAAGCAACATCCTGTTTTATTATCCTTGATCAAGGTATATGTTTAACTATTTTGCACCAAGAATCGTTCTTATTGTGTTCACAGCGTGATACTGCATGGTCGTCACGGTTCTCACACTAAAATCAGTACACTTTTATTGGCATATATATATTTATTAGTAAGTTATTAATTATTTGTCATAGGTGATGATATCTTGTTATATTATCCTTGAGCTAGGTATTTGATGTATTGTTTTCACACTGAATCGTTCTCATTGTGTTCACAGCGTGATACTGAATGGTCGTCACGGTTCTTACACTAAAATCAGTACACTTTTATTGGCATATATATATTTATTAGTAAGTTATTAATGATTTGTTATAGGTGATGATATCTTGTTATATTATCCTTGAGCTAGGTATTTGATGTATTGTTTTGCACACTTAATCGTTCTTATTGTTCACAGCGTGATACTGAACGGTTGTCACGGTTCTCACACTAAAATCAGTCCACTTTTATTGCGTATTTATATATCTAAGAATGTTGTCTTTATTCCAAAGCCTGAGTGTGATGAAGTACGATCTGTGATGATTTATTTATTTCTATTTTTCATACTGTTGTTTGATACAATGTAATTTGTATTTTTCTGCAAATATATCAATAAACTATTTTATCATGTTTATATTTTGTGGTTTGTATGATGCTGGAATTGGCAATATGATGGCTTTGGATGTTGAAATATTGAACTTCGATGCATCAAATTATTTGAAATTATTATAAAGGTCATCCCAAATGTGTGTATTTGGCTATACAAAATAATAGTCTTGGTTCTCAGGCACCACCCACATCATCATAAAGTCTGCCGCACGTTTAGTTTTTATTTCCATTTTAAAAAAAATACAAAAAGAATAATACTGATTTGGATACATACTTGTTTGAACAAGCCAAAAAAAAAAAACCACCACCCTCCCAAACTATTTTTTAAAAAGTCATTGCCTCAGAACCAGTTCTTTTTCTCTTTTTTTTAGCCTTAGTTCCAACATCAGAGGGGCGGTCGGGTGGCCTAGTGGTTAAAGCGTTCACTCGTCACGCCGAAGACCCGGGTTCGATTCCCAAAATGGGTACAATGTGTAAAGCCCATTTCTGGTGTCCCCCGCCGTTATATTGCTGGAATATTGCTAAAAGCGGCGTAAAACCATACTCACTCCAACACCAGACTTGATTGAGAGAGTCCGTATATCCTACTTGTTACATCAGTGCACCCAGGTTTTCTCACCTAAGTGGTAAATGTCTAAGACCTGCATCCCTTGGGAGACCCGTGAAGATCCGGGGTAGAATAGGTCTTCAGCAACCCATGCTTGCCAGAAAAGGTGACTTTGCTTGTCGTAAGAGGGGACTAACGGGATCGGGTGGTCAGACTCGCTGACTTGGTTGATGCATTTCATCATATCCTAATTGCATGGGTTGATGCTAATGATGTCGATCACTGGATTGTCTGGTCCAGACCGTCATAAAGCTGGAATATTGCTGAGTGCGGCGTTAAACAACAACCAAACAACCATCCTTTGGGGCTTTCCCCCCACATTAAGCTGACACGCTGTGATATAACTGGAATACCGTTCAAAGCGGCATTAATCACTCACTCACTCAATCACTGTATCTGCCATATGCAAACAGTTTAATATGGAATGGTTAAAAATTAAAATGATGCAGGTTGTATATGTTGTTATATACCAAGATTCTCTGGTTTGGATCCCTCACCAGTGGATCCTGGCAGCTCTAAGGGAGATAATTGAGAGTTGTAGCACCTTGAACCAGGGTCTAGCACTGATACATGACTGACTGACTGAGGTCAACTGTCACGGCTCGTGGGTATTGCAGCTGGGAGTGACCAGGCCTTAGGACGGCTCCATGCTGGCCAGACTGCCCGAATGGTTGCCAATGCTTTTAATTTGTCCACGTGAGAACCCTCTACAGATTACAGCAACAATACCAGGTCACCAAAAGCATGCAGTCATCCTTAAGCCTGTTTTCTCTGATTCTTCAGAAGTCTTGGTCCGGCGATGGTTTGATATAAGAGTGTTGGATCGACGTATTGGGGTGACCATTTTCAAAAAAGGCCCAAAAGAAAAGCCAGTGAATTTTGATTTTCATGGGAAGCATTCGGAACTTTGTACCATGGTCGTTTGTTAAGCTGTGTTTCAGCGACCTATTATATCCATATTTGAGTCACTTTTTGTCTGTTAACATTAAATTTGTATACAGACTAATGCCAAACTCAAGATACATCCACAAAATGCATCGATATTTCAATGGGAAACTTTCATGAATTTTTTGCATGAAGTGACATTTCTTTTGTGGTTCAGTATATATTGAGGCAATGAGTGAATTGGCTGTAACGCCGCTTTTAACAGTATTCCAGTTATATCGCGGCGTGTCAGCTTAATGTGGGAGGGAAGCCCGAAGTGATACAGGTCTCAGATGTTTACCAATTTGGTGAAACCCACGCTATGGTGCTGACAAATCTAGAAACATAATCGGGGCGAACCGGGATTTGAACTCACAATCGTAGGTTTCTGGCATGCCCAAGGGACGCAACTCTGCACAGCGAATCACGGCACCTTAGACGACTGGGCCACCCTTCCCCCTATTGAGGCAATGTTTTGTTTGTTTAACACTGTACTCAGCACTATTCCATCTATTCCAAATGGGTAGATTGATGTCATACCCCCGTCATATAGCTGAAATCTTACTGGGTGCGGCGTTAAACAAAACAAACAAAACATGTATCAACACATCCATCAATGATACAATAGTCTATTTAAACTTGATGCATCAATGCCAAAACTTGAACACTCACCAAAACTTGAACACTCACCAAAACAACACGTTGCTTCTTGCTAAACTACTGATTTATAAAACAACACCAATTTTTATTGAGAGACTTTATAGGTAAGCATAAAGAAATATCAGCATGTGTAAATAGATAAACAGCAAATAATCAAATTCCAAAAATGATTAACAAAATATGTAACAATTTGATGAATAGGTTACAATCAACAATCCAATGTGATAGCAAAAAAATAATAAATGTCACAAGTACACGAGGAATAACTGGTGACACATCCATTCCTTCCCACTTCACTTACCTCCCTTACTGTGATGTTTGTCCATGACCATGAGACTTGCATTTAATA